TTGCGGCCGTGGAAAAAAACTTTTAATAAAATTTCTGTCAAAACAGTGTTGTTGAATAAAAAAACAGCGACGTTGAATGGGAAAAACAGTGTTGTTTATTGGCCTAAAACGACTATGCCGCGGCTCTTTAGTTTTTATTTGAGAAAAGAAAAAAAAAACTCAGGCCACTTATATCTGCAGCTTTGCGGGAAGAGTGTCGCCAGGTCTGTTTTGAGAAGAGCATCATTGTTAGAATAAAAAAATATAAAAAAAAGAAGGAAGAGAGTGTGCTGCCAAAACAGCACTGATAAAAAAAAATCAAAATTAGGACTGTTTGGACGTGAAATAGTGCTGCGAGTGCAAGGCCGCACAACCGGCCGCAATAGAGAAGAATAATAATATAAAAATCGGCTATGGTTAAAAAAAAAACAGAACTTGTTGGTGATGAAAACAGCGATGCGGGAACAATAACTACACTGTCTGGGAATTAGTTTGAGCCAAGGTTGGATGGATCAGAGTTGGCCACGAAGATTCTGCCAAGTTTTTGTAAAATTGTAGTTAACTTCAAATTATTTTAGGTGATTGTATTGTGTCAACAATTTGGTTCATAATTCTTATAAACCAAATTGTGGGGGGCATTTGTTGACACCTAAAATTAATTTGGTCGAAATTAAATGCCACATTAATTAGTCTCGGGATTTAATTTGATACTGCGGGTAAAAAACGGTGTCGCATAGAGACAAGCGGCATCGCGGAGAGTTAAAATGATACCGCGAAACAGAAAAACGGTATGGCAAGGAAGCTCACCGGTATCGCGGCACAGGAAACGACACTGTTTACCAGAAAACAAGATGTGGGCCGCGCGTGTAGTATTGGTGTTGGAAAAGGAGTTTTGATTATTATTATTATTATTATTCCTTGTCGGAAGGGGAGAAACAGTACCACATGGAGACAAGCGACATCGCGGAGAAGTAAAACGGTACCGCGGATTTAAAAAGGATGTCGCGAGAGACCTTGATCTGTGGTGCCGATTAATTAAAAAACCACATCGGTATGTGATTGGCCCAAAAATCCGCCCAGCCCAAACGTGCAAAATCACGACAATTTAATACGTTGGTATTTCTTTTTATTATTTTAGGTGGTGTGGTTAAATCAAAATGGTACCGTGAGTAGGCCCAACGGTGCCGCTGTACTAGCAAACGAGAGTGTTGAAAATAAACAGTGTCGCGGAGGAAAAAAAAACAAATGGAGCTTATTGGGGAGGAAGCGACACCGCAAGGCTGAAAGCGGAGTCGTTTAATATTAAAACGATGTAGCGGGTAGAATCAAGCGGTGTTGTTTAGTTAAAAACGACACCGCTTAAGGCATCAACAGCGCCGCGATATCACTAAGCGATGTCGTTCAGTTTAGAAACCATACCACAGCGGGTTGGATTTTGGCGAGGCCGGGCAAGCCCAACGGCACTGCAAGACGAGAAAACGGTACTGTTTGGTAGAGAACAATGTCGCGGAATGGAAAACGACATTGTGTGATGGGATCGGGACAAAGCAGTTCAAGTTCGGCATCGATTAGTGAAAAGCGATGTCGCGGAAAGGTAAAAACAACACTGCGGTACTAGGAAAGAAACGACATTGTTTAGTCAAAGACAATGTTGAAAGAGTTTAACAATGCCGTGAAAGTGATACTGTTTTGCCCAAAACAAGGTCGCGAGCTCGACGACGTTGATGAGCTTTAGTTCAGTGTTGAGAAACTCAACAATACTATAAATTCAATAAAGTTGGGCATCAATGGTGGGAACTCGACTATGTCGGGGTACTAAGAGCTACGTTGTTTAGAGATCAATGTTGTAAGCCATGAATCACCATCGAAAGTGGCATTGATGTTGTGAGTGCATCGATGTTGCAAGGCTGGGAGCTCAGCGTTGCAGCGTTGTTTGTGATACGTCGCCGTTTTATGAATAAGAATGAATGTAGTTTGGCTTGAAGAGTCGGGGATGGGTTATCGAACCCGGGTGGATAACTACAAGGATGGCTCAATGTTGTTTTGCCAAGGTGCTGCGTAGTAGAGCAGTTTTGCACTCGTGGGAGTTACGCAACAAGGAGGAAGTTACCCGCAAGGTTGACACGAATGAAGAACGTGGGAGACAAAGGCGCGAAGGCAGTTACTACGACTGCGGGGACAAGAGCGAAGTATAAAGATCGGGAAGAGAGAGAAGCTCACGACGGCAAAATCAAATCTCAAACTGCACCGTCGCAGAATTATCATTTTCTCTCTCTAGTTTCGTAGAACCGCTCTGTTAAAGACCTCCTTTGCAAAGGCGTAGATCGTAGCTTGTAGTCGTAGTCCCGGAGCTCTCCAGAGGAACCTCCATAGGAGTAGAGGTAACGTAACTTAGAACACTCCCGGTTTGGTTTCTCGTTTCTCGTTGAACACCCTCGTTCGAACGTAGTTTGGAGAGGTGGTGAACCGAATAACGGTTGTTTGATTAGAAGTCAAAGGTGTATCGATTAAATCAACATCGCCAATGCCGGCGGTGGATATTTGACGATCGTCTTGGTTTTTGTTCCATTGATCAAATCTACGGCGCCGACATTCGGCGGCAGATATTTGACAGTTGTGATTGACTTGGTGTTTTGTGTTTACTTGAAAACAGTGGGTATTGGACGCGCGAGTTTCGCCAACAAAACACTACGTTTTTACTTGCATAACGTATTTTTATTCAATTTTTTAGCTGGGGTAAGTTTCTGATGCATGTTTTTTTGTTGATTTATGTGTTTTTAGGGTTTCGATTTGTTTTTGTTTGTTTTGGGGATTTTAGAAAGCGGACGAAAGGAAAAAGAACGATGAGGCCATTGCGGCGAGCAATGGCGATTATGCCGACGACTGGTGTGGCTCTCTTTCTGGTAAGATTTTATCTTTTCATTTGGTGCAGGGCATGAGACGAGACTGATTCTGGTATTATCCTCCTGAACTCGATTGGGTGAGATTAGGGAGTCTAAAAAAATAGGTAGCTAGATCACTGCTATTGCTTGAGATTGTTTGAAGCTTTGCGTCGTTTTTGTGATTGATTTTGATGCTTGAACTTTGAGATTGGGTTTGGTTGTGGTATGTTTCTTTGTTTTGGATTAGAATGGGGAAATTCAAAAGAAGTTCTATTATAGGAAATTTGGGTTTGTTTGGGTTGCTGTGATGATAAGACATTTTGTTTGACGGTTTTGATATTTGATTATTAATGGTTGTCTAGTTCCTACTGGTAAATTTGGGTAGTATTTGGGGTCTTATTTCTGGGTTTTGAGGTTCATGGTTGCTTTCGGGGAGTTTGATAATTTGGGAATTTGCCTGTGATTATGTATGCTAAGGGTGGTTTTAGTAAAAATGTGTTCAGATTAGCGGGAAGCCCTCAAACAATATGGTTATTTCAAAATACCTTCCAAAAATGGAGTCTTGTTCTTGTGTCTAGTTTTTAGTTATGTTTGTCAAATCTGACTTTCAATTACTATGAGCTTAGCTGTTGGTTTTAGCTTTTATACTAGGTGGAACGACTAGTAAAATTTAAACAAGTAAATGCAAAACAGGAAAGATAATCAAGTGTGTTTTCGCTATGATATGCTTGCATAACAAAACTTATTGATAAGAGTAAATAAAGAGTAAAGAACCAAAGATTTGATTTTGATTTCTTTGGTTTATTAATGGTTATTACCATCTTGTTAATTGATTGGTGTTTGGTTCTTTTTAACTTTTCAGATCAAGTTGCAACTTGTTTAATATTGGCTTAGTATTATTCATCTTTTAAACGAAATTAGTCCACTTATAGTTTGCTTGGGATGATTGGGTTTTAGTTTTGGAAGCGTTATATAACTAGAAAGAAGTGATTTCTATGGATGAAGAAGATGATGAGGATAGTTGTATGATTGAGTTCGGTGTTACCAACCTTTGGTTGTTTGTAGCTTGGAGATGACTCTGCATCCTTTTGCTCAGCTTCTGTGGGAGTTTGCTACTCCTCGTATGCTTCTTTTTCTCTCTTTTTTTTTTGTTGCTGCCGTATATCGACTAAGAAGAAGGAAAGAAGTGGAAGTAGTTCTTTTTTTTTTTTCTGTTTGTGGCTTCTCTGGCTGGAGTGTTTGTCTCTTTTCCAAGAACATAGGAAATGAAAGAAGGGAGGCAGCAGGGAAGAGTGCCAAAAATGGTTAAGAAGAAGAGAAGCAAGCCAGAAAGAGTCCCCCTCTTCTGTTTTGTGAATGCCTGCCTTCTTTTCTGACCCTCCCAATCCTTTGCTCTGGCTTCTCTTTTCTGTCTCTCTCTGGTTTCTGGTTGTGTTTAGGAAAGGGAATGAAGTGTGTTGGTGTACATCGGCTAAGAAGAAGAAAAGTAAGTGAGAGATAAGGTTTCTCTATTTTGGCTTCTCTTTTCTGTCTGTGTGTGGGTTTTGAGCGAGAAGGAGAAAATGTAAAGGGAACTTTTGTTATTTTATCTTTCTTTGTTTATGATTGTTGAGGCTAAAGAGGAAGAAGGATAGTGGGAATTTGCAGAGTTTTTGCTCTTTTTCTGTTTGTCGATCTGAAAAGCAGACGAAGAAAAAGAAAAAGAAAAAGAAGTTGTCTATGGGAACGATGGGAAGGAGAAGAAGCCCTCCTCCCCCAAAACCTCTCCTCATGTAAGAGCAAAAGAGCTCTTTTTATAGCAAATTGCTATTTGGGGTGCAAGAAGGCTACAGTACCAGTTGTGGTTTTGGGTTCAACCAATCTGGTTGGGTCAGAGCTCACTACTGGCTCTAATTTTCATGAAAGATATTCCCACCCCATCATCTAAAAAGAATGAAAAGATTTTGTTTTCCTTTAAAGACATAAAGTAAAATGAAGGAAATTCATTCATTTTAAGTATGTCGAATCCCAATTCAACCATGACTAATAGAGCTAGGATAAAAAAAAATCTAATAGAGGTACATGTTCAAAAATTTAAGTATAGTGGGAAGTACATTTGATGGTAAAATTATAAAGGGACATACTTGAAAAGATTGCATAGTAGTATGCCCATAACCATTTCTCATCCATAAAAGAATTAGTTATATTTGACACAAAAGTAAAAGTTTTGGTGTATATCTTGCCTTAAAATTACATTACAAGCAAAATCTGATTGTGACCATCTCTTTTTTACTTTTTTTAGTTTGCCAATGTAATTCAATGTAACATTCCCTCCTTTTCTATGATGAAGAGATTATCCGCTATAGGTCAAGTCTCCCATGTTTTTGCTTTTAAGATAATACACCATGGTGACTCTCTAAAAGGACATCCATATCTGCTTTGCTCTAAGCTAAACACGTTTAACTTTAAGTTCTTATCGTAGTTGCTCCCAATAACTCGAGTTGTTGGGAGAAGTTCAATTGTAGATCATAAACCTCAACACTAATACGCCCCCTCAAACGAAAGCCACTCACAAGGGCTTGAAGTTTGCACAGGTCTGAAGACAAGAATACCATGTGCTTAACAAATGGGGGTCACTGGGAATCGAACACAAGACCTTTCGGTCACAGAAGGCTCTGATACCAAGTCAAAAACCAATTGGTCCCAATAACTCGAGTTGTTGGGAGAGGTTCGATCGTGAATCATATACCACAGCACTAATACTATCATTATTGTCCATATCGTTTTAGAAGTTATCCCAAAGTCTAAACAAGTAAATCAAATTACAAAGTTGACGACGAGGTAAAATAAAAATTGTAATGAAATGGCGGACATTGTTGACACAAACGTTTTCCCGCTAACTAGGGTCGTTCACTCACAAATCATAATTCAGTTGCATGCTTTCTCCCGTGTGACTCGCTCTCTTCAATCACTCACCACTCTTGGTGCTTCCATCAATTTTCCCTCCAACCTTCCATTCATCGTTTCTACTCAGCCATAAAAAAGAAACAATAATAGTAACTCAAATAATAACAACATTAAGTAAAAAAAGACAAAGAAAAAGGAAGAAGTCAAATATCATAAGGGCCTCACATCAACAATTATAGAAAGATAACTTCAAAGAAGCACAAAGAAGATCACAATAACGACAAAACATCAAGAACAATAGTTGAACTATCTGGTGGCTGTAGTATATACTTTCTCTCAATTTTATTTTCTTTTGCATTATTTATTTGCTTGTATTACCTTTGGGTTGGGAACTACATTTGGTGATCTTGTCAGGCAATTCTTTGCGGTGAAACAAATTTGGGCAGATTTCATTGAGAGATCGGCTACCCTCTTCGCCTTTTTGGAGCTTCACTGTAAATTAATTAAGACAAAAAGAAACATCAGTCCTAAAAGATCAAGGTATCCAATGTTCTTCCTCCCCTTCCATCGTTCTGTTGCATTATTCCCCGAGCATTTCATGTGTATCTCCTATCTATCATGATGCCCAAACAAAAAAGCAAGCTTACCCATTTTTTAAAAAGGATTTGATACTTGGTTTATGTATGTTATGATTTGTGATGAGATTATTTTCTTATAAAAACTGTTTGAGATTGAGAAGCCTTTATATTATAATTGCTTAGGCGGCATAAGGGAAAAAATGTCAGCAGTGGATAGCCGGCGTGAATCCCTGGCCGGGTTGACCCTGGATGCGGTGTTGGGAAACAACAAGAGATCTGGATCTGGTCCGGGTGAAGTGAATGCAGCCACCGCGGCACATATGAACAAAACCCTACTCGATATCATCCGCGATGAAGATCCCCATCGCTCCTTGTTTGGACACAAAGACAAAAAGAGCTGGAAAGCATTCAGAGAAAGGCTACGACTACGGAGAGCGGGAGCCGCATGGACATCCTCTATCCAGATCCCCACATCCGATCTACCCATCCACAAAAATGCTCCTCCTCCTAGGTCAATGATGTCCCGTCGTAACTCTGTCCGGTTCACAACCACCACCGATCATCCTGAAGAATTCGGGCCTCAAATGTCACGCAAAACCTCCACCAAACATGGACCCACTAGTCATGTGGACGGGGAAGAGTTTGCAGTGGGCGATGAGCTTCCAGCTCGAAGCTTTAGACCACAGATGTCGCGGCGGCACTCCGTCCGGATGCATGAGGAAGAAGAGGACGCTGTGAATCAGCGACCAGGCGCAACATTGGTAGAAGAGAGAGTATTGTCAGCTAGGGAGGCGATTGCAGCGCAGGAGGCCTCAGAAGCAGCTGCCGCACAAGAAGCTGCTGCATCCGAAGAGGAGGAGGATGAGAAATTTGTTGATGTCGAAGAGGAAGGAATGGGCATGTCGCTTATGGATTTGCTGGAGGAGACTGATCGACAGATGGGGTTTGAAGGAGCAAGGTATGTGGTAGGGGATCAGGACAATGAACAAACTTACGACTACGAGGATGACGATGATAGCGATGTCGCTGGTGGGACTGAGCATACTTGTTGCGTGTGCATGGTCAGGCATAAAGGCTCGGCTTTTATTCCTTGCGGCCATACCTTCTGTCGACTTTGCTCAAGGGAGCTTTACGTTCAAAGAGGGAATTGTCCACTCTGTAATGGCTTCATCTTAGAAATTCTTGATGTTTTCTGATTCAATTCTCTCTTTCTCACAATCACATCTATTCTTCCTACTTACCTCATTCCCGGTCCTCTCATCCAAATTTACTTGAATGGTGATTATATTATTAGTATCGGTATTTTCTCTTCATTCCAGAAAATAAAGATATATTGGTTTGACTGGAATTTCGTAGCTCACATTTTCTATGTTTTATTGTGAAATGGTGAAAACCAAAACTACCTCTTCATCATTAATCAAACGAATAAAAAAAATCACCAACAGAGTCGTTAAAGCCAATTAATGAGCTATAGACGAGTTCGACTGGCAAATAGTGTGGGTACCAATTGCTAGATCGTGACCCCAATGGGCAAGACTATTCGCTAAAAATATAATTTAGCCTCTCTATATACATGAATAATAGGTATCTCCCAATTTCTTTGCCGGAGCTCTGTGAAAGAAAGCACCAGGTTTGGATGTTGGTGGATGGTCGGTTGGAATCTCAATAGTAAGAGGTTGAATGGTTATACGCGAGTCGAGCTCGAGTTCAAATTTTCCTTTGCCAGTGCCCCAGGCCAGCTAGAGCCCTTTGAGTGCGCCCTACAGCTTTGCATGAGTGAGCGTACATCTTCACAGGTTCATAGAGTAAGCCCCCTAACAAGCGACCTTGCCCGTCTCAAAGTGCCCCTCCTGTAGCGGTAGACCTGACACTCACAAGAGCGAGCTGTCAGAGTTCACTGTGAGCCATCGGTCGAGGTCGGTTCCCACAAAACAACAACGTCTCAATGCGACCTGACCTCCCTAGTGCTAGGGTGTGGTCTGCTGCCTTATTGTGTCCCGCAATGACCCCTCAGACTACGGTATTTTGCGTAAACTTATTAGGGGCTTCCAGCTCAAGATAGGGTGAGTAACTTTAGGGTGAGTAACAATGAGTAACCAAATCTGGACCCTTCTTTAAAGTGGCTGCAGATCGAAGGGTGGAGAATTAAAGTATTATTTTCCCTAGTTTTCTTAATTGGATCATATCTTCTTCATTCTAACTCGGATTTCAATTTTTTTTTTTTTACACAGATGGAACGAGTTCGTTGTGCTCTACAAAATGATATCCATTTTCAATATTTTTTGAGAAAAAAATTTTCATCCCTCTCGTTACCAACTCCATACCATATGGTATCTTCTTCGTTGTTTAGTCATTTTCGGAAATTTTTGCACAAAATGAACGATTTAATCAATGATCTATTGGATTTCAAAATTTTCTGGGGGGAAAAATTTCATACCTCTCGTTACCAACTCCCTACCATACTATACCACCCTATATGAGGTGGTATTTTTCATACCATATGGTATGCTATTATTTAATACCAGTCAATACCATATGGTATTGACTAGTAATAATTGACAAAAAAATTTTGTTCCAAAAAATATCAAAGTGGATATCATTTTGAATCGTTACCAACTCCATACCATACTATACCACCCTAGTATGAGGTGGTATTTTTCATACCATATGGTATGCTGTTATTTAATACTAGTCAATACCATATGGTATTGACTGGTAATAACTGACAAATTGTTTTTGTTCCAAAAAATATCAAAGTGAATATCATTTTGAAGAGCACAATTAATCTGATCTAACTGTGCAAAAATAATTGAATTTCGAGTTAAAACGAGTGAAAAATCGTCCATTAAAGATTAAGGGGAAAAAAATTAATGATTTTTTCCAGGTGAGAGAAAAATGCGCTGATGTGGTAGATTCTTATTGGGTTATGCATGAGCTTACTCACCGGATCTGGTCCCGAGCTTCCACGATGTCTGAAAAAATAGGATGATTCAGCAAAGGTCATAAGCACAAAAAACGATACCAAAGCATCCTTGTGATCAAGATTTGTGAGGCTAGATATAAAACCAAACATTGACGTCCCTTGCGGTTGCAGTCAGGTGTTTGCAGCTGGCAGGCCGAGCCACCGGCAATGTGATGTTGTTTCTTTCGTTGTTGGAGAGGAGCGATCTGTACGCATCAATCCATAGAAAAGTGACTAACGGTTTGGCCCGTCCACCTATATATAGACTTCCACCCAGTGGCGGAGCCACTTGGAGAGGAGGGGGTGCTTTGCACCCCCTTTGGGTTTGGAGAATTTTTTTTCGAGTAGGGGTATATACAAATTCGAACCAATGATCATTCAGTTGCAGGAAGAATTTCTTATCATTTCGATCTAGTGAGTTTTGTTATGTAATGCACTTTCGTCTTTATTTATAGTAATAAATTGTTGTCTTTTGTTTAAACTCGCTCTTTTTTTTTTGTAGCTCTACAACAGAGAAATTTCTTGTCTTTTGTTTAAACAAAGTTGAAAGTGAAGAAGTACCAATTGAAGTTCACTTGTTTGTTTCACAAAATCAATTCCAAAGTACTTCTGAGTTCTAATTTGTAATATTTGATGAATGGAAGTCTTGATTTGTATGTACTGAACTTATTTGTTTGACGTTGTAACCGGTGTACGTGAAACTATTTTAATGTAATTGTGTGAATTTAGAGTATTGCGTTGTTGACTTTTTGTTTAATTTAAAGTTGACTTTTCTATTGTATAGGCGATTTTTTATGATATGATAAAGACACCCCTTGGCCAATTTCCTGGCTCCGCCACTGCTTCCGCCCATCAGGACCATCATCGCCATTAATGTCGGCAAGAAGCAGGTAAAGTTAATGGGACCAGATTTATTGGGGTCGAGTTTATTGTAGTCTAGATTGTTGTTATATTTTAAACCAATAGCCGAAATTAGTTTATTAATGGTTTTTTATTAACATTTTGAAAAAAATTAATTATATGTAATATATTATTATTAATGTTTGTGGAAAAATATTAATTATATACATTAATATGAACATTTTGAAAAGAATTATTATGATATAAATGTTGTTGAAGTTTTTGGAAAATATATTATAAATTATATAAAATAAATTTATGGACACTTTCAATGGAATTATTAATGACATAAAATTTCGTTATTAATTTTTTTGAAATGAATTAATATGATACAATAACATTATTAAAATTTTCAAATAAATTAGTGATAACATACAAGAATCTTAAGAATGTTTGTGAATGAAATTATTGATGGAATACAATATCGTTATTAACATTTGACTAAAATTTAATTATATAAAATATCATTATTAACATTTTTGGAAAGAACTATTAATTTTATATAAATATCATTATAAAATTTTGAAAGAATAATTAACGATATTAAATTTTTTATTAAAATTTGTAAAAATAATAATTGGTAGTACAAAATACCATTAGTAATATTTTGAAATGAATATAAATGATATATAATTTTGTTATTAATTTTTGTGAAAATAATAATCAATAGTGTACAATAATGGTATTAACGTTGGTGGAATGAACTGTTAGTTGTAATCAATAATATAAATTCTTTGAAACCTCACAAAACTGAAACGGCATATTAGGTCAACCTAATCCTATATAGGTCGATCTAAAAGTACAGATTAGGTCGACCTAATTCTATATAAGGTCGCCCTTAAAGTGCACATGTATGTCACCGTAGCAAAGTCCTATCATTGGGGGTTCAAGTGAGGATGAAAGAGATGACGATTCAACACCTTTTGAACTGGTCACGCGAAAGGAAGCACATAAAGCCGCATCGACTCTTCAAAAATACGTGATGCAATAGGAGAAGACAACACCGTATACTTTGAGTGCAATGAGGAAAGTTCAAGATGAACTTCTATTAGACTTTAACTTAAAGAATAAACAAACAACTATATATTCATATTTTTCTTGATTATCCTAGCTATATTATAAATTTGTAGATTAATTGTATTTTTATAATTATTATTTTATAGAGTTAAAAATATATGTATTTATGTATGTTGGTTTTCAAAAATCATTATCTTATTATTTTCTTAAATTATCTCATTTTTACAAGTCGGGATCGGGGAAATTATTTGTTTATACTAGGTTATTAATTTATCAATTATTAATTTAAAAAGGTTATTCTGTATTTGGGCACTCATTGTAGGAGAAGGTCAATGTCTACTCATTGGAAATCAATTATTTATACTAAATTGTCTAATCGGATGTTTTTAGATTTTACAATGCTGCAATTTAGAAACCAATCATGTATATATAATTGTCCAATATGGTGCATTTATAACTTAGATGTCAAAATGAAGGAAAGTTTATCACTTCCTTCATAGACAAAAGGTAGCATCTTTGTGCGTATGAATTCTTTACAAGCTAATAGTATTTTATTTTTTTTATAATGCAGGTTATGATTTGATTTTTATTACAGAACTTTCTAGGCATTGTTGCAGCCTGCAATGTCAGGGTTGGTGGTTTCTCATGTTATATCTATCGTGGTTCGACTTTTATCTACTCAGGCATCACATATACCTAACACAACATCTGCAGTCTCTAAAAGAAAACTACATCTGCAGTGGCTTGTAAGGGAAACAAATATCGGATCAGAGCTCGTGAATGGAAGGTGGATCTGTACTCCTCCTTCTTTCTTCTCGTGGCCGCGGTTCACCTGCTCTGCCTCTAGGGACGACGACGACGACGGTGGATGGACGGGAAAGAGGAAGGAGGGAGCCAGGGAGGCAGTCAGGCAGAGGTGTGATGCGACAAGGAAGGGAGCTGGGCGGAGGTGAGGAAGGGAACTGAGGGAGAAGGATTAGCCGATTAGGTTTTCAAATTGGGGGTTAAAAGGTTTGGTTTGTCATTTTGGGGGAAGGGGGGAGGGCGAATCTTAGGGTTGCTCAGTTTGGGTCCGTTCTCCGGGTAACTGCAGTTAATCATCGTCAGTTACCCAGTTACTCGGATCCTCTCTTTGCCCTCCGAGCACCGAGCGAAGACACTTTGGTCTCAGTTTTTGGTTTTCGATTATAACCAACAATTACTTGTTAACCAAAAATCGAATGGCCACCCCTAGTATTGAGGTGCCGATTGAGACGTTTTTTGGGGTTCCAATGTGAAGGAAATTCGTGTACTTTTTCTCTATAAATAAAATTAGAACATAAAACGAATTTAGGTAATTTCATTATGTATAAAATTTGTAACAAATTGTACGTATGTGTAATTGAATCTTTCTTTTTAGTTTGGACTTATATATTGAATTGATTTTTTGAAAAACGTATTGTAATATTTTGTCTAAAATTATGTGATATTAACGTTTTGAATACATAATTCTCAAAAAATATATGCTCTTCCACTCTTACTGTCACTCTCGCTCTACGAGTTGATAATCTAAAATAGTCGGACCAATGGATCAAATTATAACTAGTTGTATTTACACTGATATTGTGACGAGAAGCGAGAATGTATCCGCACACATGTTAAGCATAACTAGAGTTATTTAACTTAACATGTGCGGCCGCACGCATATCGAGTGAAACTAAACTAACAAATGTGACATCCAAAAACGATTGTCTCTCATCTAACCTTTGTTTTACTGCACACTTCCTAAAGCGCGTGTACAAAATCCTCTTTCTATATGTGTCAGTGTATGGAGTTGCACTCTCTTCTCTTTCTTTTTAGGAGTCTTCAAAATGGTTATTAACGTAATCATTACCAAAACTAATTAAGGCTAAATTCTATTGAGTATGGAATACAATATATTAATCAAACTATCCAAATTAATAGAACAACCAAGTTAAACAAATTAAAGTTTAATCAATTTGGTTAATTAGTTAATAATGTTAAACTAATATAATAAAACATTATTTTTATGTGAAAAAAATCTTCACTTAATGCATCAATTCATACTACATATAATGAATAAAATATGAGAATCATGATACAATTATGTGTATAATTATGAGAGTATACCATGATGATAGTATGAATGAATTAACCAAATCAATTATTCTACAATATGGTTATTCATACGATCATGTTACATTCTCATACTACCATTGTATAATCTTGTGTACTACCGAACATTATAGCCATAGTATAGAGTATAGACTAGTAATATATGTCTGGTTTTTTTCCAAAATATATCAAAATATATATAATTTTCTTTGTTCCAAAATATATTAGAATGGATGTCATTTTGAATAGTATGAACTTTTTAATACAAGTATAATTTTGAATAATATGATAATTTCTGTGGAAAAAGAAAGAATTTAGTTAGAAAGAAACATAATAAGTATAATTAAATTAGGATTTTTTTTTTTGCATGATCCAAGACGAAATGCGTCATCCCAAGACCAAGGTTGTTAAACCCCTATCGAACCCCCCCGGTTGGACCCGGTTCAACCCGAGTCGGGCTTCAAAACGGCCTCCAAAAAATCCCCCGGTCTGACCCCTAAACAGGGAGAAGAAGAGAGGCAGAAGAGAGGAAAAGGAACGAAGGAAGGGAAATGGTAGGTGGATCATGGAGGTTAGGTAGATTTATTTTGTTGAAAATAAGTTTTTAATAGATATATGTAAGATAAATTTTATTTCACTCATTAAATTTTTAATTACTACTTTATTTGTATATATATTTAGAAAACCTCTAAAACGGCTCAAACCGGCCGGACCCCGATCAGACCATTAAACCTCAAACCCCTTGCTTAACCGGCTCAATGACTTAAACCGGTTTGACAACCTTGCCCAAGACCTAAGCAACAATGGTAAATCAAATTGACAGATGTCGATGGCATATATCTCATTTCGTACTTTCACTTTGTAACAATAATAAGAAGTCAAGGCAGTTGTAGCTAGTTCTAGGTATGGGGAAGGATCCACTTAAAAGGGAACTAACTTAAGTGCTTTCCCCTCGTCTAAACTATTCATTCTGTTCTACCCATGCCATAACAGACCCTGAATGTCAACTCTTGCCTCTATTAACCCTCTCAGTTCAGTCTGGAAGAAGCACTAAAGGTCCGCGATCCATTGCCTAGTTTGGGGGGCAGTGCGAAGACACCTCTCAGGCTGCCTCACTATGTAGATCTGGTCCCCTACTTGGCTCACCGCGTCCTGGTTTCGGTGCCATTTCCATAGCGCCCAAGTTTCATTCTTTACCTGAAAATGACAATGGGAGTGAGTTCACATGATCCCTTCCAGCGGGCTTTGAACGTAGGAGTCAAAGAGACTCCTTGGACAATGAAGTTCAGCTTCAGTCACAGGATATGACAACAACACAGCAGAAAACGACCACCTGTTTCTCCTTACTTCTGATTCCAAAAAGAATTGTGGTGGGTGGGTTCTTTCTTCTGAGGTTTTGGCATGATGCAGTCGACATTCATATGAAAGAAAGAAAACTCTTGAGACAGAGAATGAGACTACGTACCTCGAGAATTCCATGGCCAAAGCTACTCTCCCTGAATGCGCTGAAATCTGGCTGTCGATCCCAGCAGAAGTTGCCAGCTGCTGGGCCAGTTGTAAAGTTTGCTGCACAGAATCCACCCATGTATTCATCAGGTGTAGTTGATGGTTCGGGACACTCACCAGGTTCATCAGCATGTTCAACAGCCATCTTTTCCCTATTGCCGCCATCACCAACCGTGATATACACAGGGCCACAAGGATCCAGTGTGTAGTTGTACACTCTATTCGATCTCTCATAGGCATGAACCTAGTTGTTGACATTCGACAAAGAAAGAAAAAGCTAATTAGAGGCATTGCATTTGAAAACAAACACTGTTCAGGCGTTCCATTTATGTTCATAGTAGAATTGCGTACATGTCCATTGAAGACTATGTCGACACCATATGAGTAGATAAGTTCTTCCATTTCCACCCTCATGCACTCAACCTCTCTGTAATGGGCATTATATGAATTGTACCAAGGCGGATGCCACACAGCAACCAGCCACGGAGTGATCGATCTGTCCACATTGGCCAGATCCCTCTCCAGCCACCTATACTGCTCGGCTGCAAACGGAAGCCCAAGTTTTTTGCTTGATTAAGAGAGGACTTTCAGCAGAGAGTAAAAGGCGAAGGTAGGAAAGAGGACTAGAAGAAAGACAAAGATAGCACTGGAAGAAACAACTACAAGTGGGAAACATGTAACGAAACAATAAAGGACACCTCTTTCCTGACGTGGTCCTAGCATACGGACACAATTGAAGGTGTAAAGAGAGACTGCAAAATTACATGAATGATCATAGGAGATGTATGCTCCAAGCATGACGAAATGGATTCCACCAGCGTTGAATGAGTAGTAGAAGGTGGATCGTGATCCACTCTCTTCGGAAGGGAATGCAAACCGCGAACTGTAGGACACAAATGTTTGGCCCCCAACCTGTGGCTCTATTTCATGGTTTCCTTCCACCACCATTATTGGAACTTTAGCAATTAAGTCCTGCATAAACCTGTGAAACAAGAAACATCTCGTCGCTGTCATGGATATCAACTTCTTGGACAGGCAAAGACCAGTACAAAAGTTTCAACACACTAACCGTCCCCAGTAATCCCAACGAGGCTGGTAAGTCTCATGGATGGGAGTATTGGAGAAAGAGCAAGAGTAGCAGTCAGCGCCCGTTCCGTTTGTAAGGTAGAGATTTGCATAGCACACATCGCCAACCAGCACAACAAGGTCAGGGTTGTTGCTCTTAACGTGACTTATCGTGGCAGTTGTGTTGTACGTAAGGCCAAGATCACCAAATATTGCAATCTTCCTAGGGTAACTCTTTGGACCAGAAGCTGGCATTGTCCTGAAACTGTAGATATCGCTCATGGCCCCAATTGATGGATCCCCACACCTATAGTAATACATCGTGTCAGGTCTCAACCCTGAAAACCAACATCAGGCAATCAGCAATGAATTCATTACCCACTAGTAAAAGGCCATAAGGGATTATTATCCATCACCCAATTATTCATATTGCAAACAAGAAGCAGGATTAAATGAATTGTTGGGTGAGTAGGTGAAGCAGGAACCTGTAAGGCGGGCATGGTGGATGATTCCGGAGGTGTAATTCTGGAGGCCTTCAAACGGATAAAGCTGACTGTAAACGAGTGATTTGCCCTTGACTTCGTGTCTCAATGGATATCGATGCTTCCCATATCGCACGATGCTGCCAACAGTTGTTGGGTCCAATGGCTTTATGTCGTACCCAATTTGAAACTCCCCTGAAACCCAATAAAATGCAAACCAAAATTCCCCCCAAATTTGAAAACTCTGAAACAGGGAGATTTACCACCGGAATTGGAAATAAAAAGAAATTGCGGAGAAGAAAGACCTGTAACCCAAGAGATCCAGACAGAATCGTGGTTCGCGGAAAGCGAAACCGATATCTGCTCCGGTTCGAACCCATTGACCCGGCGCACGACGCGAGGATCCGTGTCGGGCAAATCAACGGCGTTGCCGCGCAAGCTGAGGTCGAAGGGAACCGTGACGGGCTCAAATGGGCCGTCCATAGTTGAAGGGATGCGGTCGCCGCCGGCATGAATTGCAGAAGGAGAAACGCAAAGCAGGATTAGCAGTAGAAGGGATGCAAAAACAGAGGAAGGTAACAGAGGCGCCATTGTTGTTCTTCTTTGAGAGAAAGAGACCTCAGAGGTTTCCTCCCATCAGGGATTTGGGAATTTTCGGCTGCCCTTTCTCGGCAAGGTAACGAAAACGGGAGCTTACAGAGATGGCGGAAAGAATGGAGTCCCAAATTTATTAATTTTTGCGGGGGAAAATGTTTGGGTGTCTGATTTCGCGCGCCATATTTGCCCAGGATTCCGACGAATCTCAACTCCATTATTATTACAAGTTTCCATACAGGCTTTTCGTTTTGGTTTTGCTCTGCCCCTGCTCTGCTGCTCCACGCATCTCCGTAAGAAGGGATCTTCCTTTGTAATATTCTTTATTCTCATTCCACGCCATCATCACCGCCACCCTTTGGCCCATTGTTTTAGGGACCGGCTAAAGGTCCTTCTTATAATTGCTAAAGGTAGCTCTAAAAAGTATCCAATTTATACTTTTAACCCTCTTAACTTTTTTACCTTCCCTTTAGCAAACAAACACCACTTGGACTAAAAAAACACTATTTAAGGAGAGAAAAATCCATCATCGTCATTTTGAAGACGATATCGTCGGCAAGACGTCTGAATCATGAGTAGCGACTCCGACGAGATAAAAACATTAACTGGAAAAATAAAAAAAAACACAGAAAATGGGAACCGCAAGTGACCTGCGGTTGGACCATGGCTGAACCGCAACTGAGCTGCGGTTGAGCATTTTATGAGTTTTTTTTGTTCAAATCAGTATTTTGTATTTTTTACATGATTTATGGTTTGTTCCATGAGATAATTTGTTGTGTTTTGATTTATATAATTTTCCATATTTATTTGCATAATTATTTTTGGAATTGAAGGATTTAGCATTAGAAATTAAGATTAGATTTGGCCTTAAATTAAGATTAGATTTTGCATTACAAATTAAGATTAAATCTATTGCATAAATAATAGATTCGCATATGAAGTTATGATGATTATTAAATTTAATATAGTTATGAAATTTTAAATTTATCATATGGTACTCGTTAAATTGACGATATAGAATGTTAAGTTTTCTTAAAATTTGTGGGGTAACACTTATAAATTCTGATAACATTGCATGATATTGGAAGTTACAATCCGGATGGCCATGATTACACCTCGGATTTCATTGATGGCGTGAAATACACTACGGAGTTGCAAGCATATGAAGCAGCTACTGAGATTGCCAAGGGTTTTGGGTTTTATTTGGTGAGGGCAACGAACAAAAAAAATAACAATGAAGGTACTTGACGACATTAATTACATTGCACTCATGGTAGGAAGAAGAAGTCGAAGGAACCTGATCTGAGTAAGGAAAGGAGGCCTCTTACATCTGCTGAAAAGTTGGGGTGCGAGTTTCAGATCAAACTTGAGCGGTCCGGTGATGGATATTGGTTGATCCTAGGGGTGGCAAATACAAAGAATCCTGGTGCTAATTTGGGTTTCCACAATCATCAGTTGGAGCTATTTCCGGAGGGATCAAAGGGAAGGAATGTTTTGACTACAGAGGATAAGCAATACATCAGAGAGCTGAGATCAGCCGGTGTCCCACCAAGGAATATCCACAAGGCAGTGAATGAGAGAAACGGTGCAAATGGAACACACAACAGAAAGCATATTTATAGCGAGTTGCAAAAGATAAGGAAAGAAGAGCTTGGTCAGATGACAACCTTACAGTATACTTTCCGCGTGGCTTAGGAGAAGGGTTACTATGTGCAGTATATGGATGATCGTAACGTGCTTACACACTTGTTCCTAACCCACCCCGAGTCAATAGTGATGTTGCGAGCTTGGCACCATGTGATCGTGATAGATGCAACATACAAGACCAATAAGTATGATATGCCTTGGGTTGAGATTGTCGGCATGACACCAGTGGGATTGAACTTTGTCATTGCATCTGCAATACTGTACGACGAGACGAAGGAGTCGTACCAGTGGCTTCTGACGCATTTGCAACATCTTCTTGGCCCCATTGTTCCAGATGTGTTTGTCAGTGACAAGGCAGGAGGATTGGTTGAGACCGTGGGGGTAATGTTTCCATCATCGACTCATATATTATGTCTTTGGCATATAGATAGGAATGTGAGAGAAAAGTGTCTAGCGGAGGTGCGAAGGACGACTCATTGTGGTATAGATGCAGCCAAACCGACAGTGGATCATATCATGGCGTCTTGGCAACGTGCTGTATATGCATTGACAGTGGAAGACATGGATATTGCCTTAGACAATTTTAGACGTAGTTGGGGAGTACAGTACCGACGACTTTGGGGGTATTTGGTAGCTGAGTGGTTACCAGTTAGACACATGTGGGCTAGAGGTTATACCAATCAAGTGCAGCATTTGGGTAACACAAGCTCTAATAGGGTTGAAGCTGCTCATTCCTCCTTCAAGAAGTGGCTTCAATCATCTATTGGCGCAGTCGACACGGTTAGTCTCCTAATAAATCTTCATTGATACACACATAAGTTTTAGTAGTCTCCTAATTGTTCTTCATTGTCCGTAGGTATTCATGAAGAACGATAATTACATTGAGGCTCAACACCTTCAAATCAGGAAGCTTCTAGAGGATTCCCGAGAAGCTGCTCCGAGCGGATGGAAAACCATTTTGAGAGTTGAATACGAAAGTCACTCTATCGTTGGAATAATTACCCATGGGTAGATGGTGCCTCGTGGAGGGTTGCTCGGATTCCCAATACTAGTTGGAAGAATTACCCATGGCTAGTTCGTGGTTGGCACAACCCTATTCCAGATGGACACTGTGGATTTCGAGCTATATCACAAGCAGTTACTGGGGACCAAAGGAATTGGCCACAAATGAGACGCGTTGTTGTAGAGGAGCTTGAATCCCGTCCCGAGCTTTATAGAGAGTACTATGATGGAATAGAAAATGGCATTCGACGTTGCAGGTGGGCATCAACAAGTGGCTGTGGACCTCGCAACTGGATGGATAATGTGGAACTCTTCGTCTTCGCCACCTTGCATTCATGGGCTATCGTTGTATACAGTCAAAGCAGTCGTTATACCGTGCTACCTGTGACGGCCCCACCAGGAGTAACAAGACCACGTGGGATCTTATCACTACATTTTACGGGGGATCATTGGGTGCGACTTGACTTTCGACATAGTGATGACTCGATATTTGCACATGTTTTCCCCTTTGTTTCTTGATCGTTTAAGCTTGCATTATCGCTTCTTTGGCCTATTTTACGCTAGGTTGTGTTCCTTTGTCACATTTCAGGCCCTAGCACATAAAGTGAAGCGTAGGCGCAAGTTTCAAGTCAATCGGAGATCAATTGGCGATTAGGGAGAAGAAACACGAGCATGACCTGAAGAAGAATGGATTTCTACCTCACTTTATGGAAAAAGAATCATGAAAGTTTGTTATGAAAAGAAAGAGGACGAGACTACGAGCGTCTGGGTTCAAACGGCGACTGATTTGGAGTCCGGACAAGGGAGAAACGAAGCTTTGAACAGGGGTGGAGGAAGAATTACGGGCATGAGAATTACGACCGTAATTTCCCCTCCCATGCCCGTAATTTCACTGCCGAGAGGAGCTTTGGGTGCACTGAAACTTAACCAAAACGCGTGTTTTGGGCAAAATACGGGCATGGAAGAATTACGACCGTAATTCAGCACGTAATTCGCCCAGAATCGGGTTTTTGAGGCAGATTAGAGCCAAAGGAAAGAGAGAGCTGGGGTTTTGGTTCCAAAACACCCAAGGGACGAACCCTAGAGAGAGAGAGCGACTTGGGAACATTCTTGGAGCTATTTTGGGGGATTTCTTTGCCATTGGAGCTCGGGAATCAAGCTTGGAGATGGAGATTGAAGATCTAGATCAGATTTCTGCAGTCTCTCTCTTCTCTATGGAGTATCTTCCCTTCACTTAGGTTTTGAGGAACCCTAGTTCCATGAGTTAGGATCTTTCTTGTATGAAGTTTTGGATGCTATATTGTTTGATTATAATCGAATGATGCATGTTTATTGAGTCAATTGAAGTCTGATCAACTTTTCCTGATTTCTGCTGCAACCTGAGATAGATAGAATCTGATTAGGTTGCTAGAGTCTCATCATTCGGTAGTAGGAGATTGGCTATACGAGAGTTAGTCAGTTTACTGCTTTGTACTGGAATCCAATTCCAGTAGTGGAGTTCTGTGCTTATTGCTTCAGCTTTCTATCCCGGTGAAGACTAGTCGTCTGCCGGATAGTTAGACTGAGAGGGCTTGGTCAGCTTAAGAGATTCCAAGCTACTGTCGGATCTTCCGTAGTTTAATCAACAATAAAACAACCAAAAGGAATTACAACTTGGACCTAATTGAGGAGCTAGGGGGAATCATACCTAAGTGAGTTCACAACTTGTAATTAGTAGAGTAGTTAGTAGAGTAGTTTATAAATCAATCATTAATCTAGTTTGCTAGATAATGAACTGAAGCTGAGTAATAGTAACTCTAGAGACCCGTGGATTTGATATTTATTACTTGTGCCACTATACTGCAGTCCCTTTTATTGGTTACACTTGGCCATTGTTAGGTGTTGTGTTTTAGAGCATCACATAGTCAAGTGCCCATGCCTCCAATTAATGGCCTTTGGGCTATTTTTCATGACCCAAGTGTCAATGGGTGGGATCAATTCTTCTTACATGAGCGCACACTTTATGATAGTTTGAACCCACGGGGATGACTATTGGAAGTATATTTACGAATTGTATAACTCTCTATTATTGAAACATTTAGTAATCTACCATGTTGATTAACTATTTTAGCAATGCATTGAATGTAACTAAAGTAAAAAACACAATCGTCTCAATTCAACTACAAACGATGACAAATAAAAAACACAATCGTCTCAGTTCAACTACAAACGATGACAAATAAAAAACACAATAGTCTCAGTTCAACTACAAACGATGACAAATAAAAAACACAATAGTCTCAGTTCAACTACAAACGATGACAAATAAAAAACACAATCGTCTACTGAGGCGGCTGCCCTACCAACTGGTCGTACAACTCGTGAACCCCAGCTATCATATCGTAGAACTTACCACCATCCTCCTCAAACTTACTCCGACCCCTCGTCAGCAACATGGGACCTAAACGATCCACAATCTGCTCTCTCATCTGTAAATAGAAAACAATGTTAGAATAAATAACAAATTTCCTTTATATTTGGAAAAGCAAAAGAAAGTCATAACTAACCCGATGAACTAGTACTGGTCGAGGCTGAGGCACCCCATCAGAGCTGGGATGGGTGATCCGTGGGTGCGATCTAGTCAGAAACCAGTCAACGTACTCCTCCACGATCTTTGATGGGTGCTCGCACAACCCAGAAGCAAAATTCAAATCTAGACGATTGGTTGCCACGTTATCCCACAACTGATTCACAAACGGATCCCAAAAGACTGTGTAACTGCTGCCGGAAGCCGGACGGTACTGGTCATGTGGTACCATCATAGCACGGGGGATAATCTGTCGGTATCCAAACTGGCGCAGACAACGTGCAGGATCGTATCCCTCAGCAATGTCAGAAAAGCGAATGATTCCAGTAAACAAGGAGCGAGGTATATGTGTGTAGCCATCTCGTCCGTACGGAGTCCAGGTCACATCATTAGCTGAAAGCTCATCCAACAACTGTCGATGACGTGCTAACCTCTGTCTAGCATCATCCCCACCTGGCAAACGGGGAGAAATCCACGAGGAAGCACGAAGTGCATCCGGAGACTGCGGCAGCTGGCTCGGACGGAATAGAGGAAAGTACTCATATATCCAAGCCTGAAGCACGGTCAAACAACCACAAAGACTCTTACTACCCGCTCGTGTGGCCACTCCCAACTGTCTGTAGAGATAAACTAGTGCACCAGCTCCCCAAGCGTAATCAGTCAATCGTCGATGATCCTTCAGAAATAAGTTGATCGCAGGACGAAGGCGATCACGACTCTTATCCACAAACAACGTGGATCCCAATAACACAAATAGGTAACACTGCACCTCCATCTCCTTAATCTTCAGCTCTCTCCCACGCACCAACAATCCCTCTGCATGCATAGCACCATTATCGTACCACTTAGACTTCCACTTACCACCAACATGAGCATCCACCGAAAGTCAAACTAGACCACCCATGTCTGACTTAAGAATATCCAGCGACGCCTCATCTCCCATCAGCTCTCCATCAACCGGAATACGAAGAATGTGATGCACATCGTGTAGAAGGATCGAAATCTCTCCAAACATCATGTGAAAGGTATTTGTGTTCGGCTGCCACCTCTCCACAAATGCTTACAGTAGAGCCATGTCTAAATGCTGCATCATGCACCCTGTCAAGTGAGACAATCCTGTGGCTTCAACCATCTCCTTGGAACCCTCTACACTCCACTTATATCACCTCAAAGACTCTACAGCTTTCGGCCTATGGAAGCCGTCCAACACACTCCACGGTCCTGCTCATGGGAAGTCCACAGTGCAAGGCCAATGTAACCTCCAAAGCTAGGGATCACATCGGGAATCACTGGTCCACCTGAACACATCTGAGACTCGGATGTAAGAAACCACGACATATCTTTCCTCGTGGTCTTCCTCTTCCTATTTCCATCTCCTCCTTCCTCGCTACTAGGACTGGACGCATAGTGTCCATCGGGTCCACGGAAGTGTGAGGAGGCAGTAGAAGATATCTCGACCCGCGTCGTCTTACCCACACCTAAATCAGCTTGAGGTGGGGCATCCCCAACCTCAGCATCACCAGCATCTGGGACATTCCCAACCTCAGCATCACCGTCATCATCGTCATCCTCGTCAATGGAATCACTCCAATTAGCCTGCCATGCCGGTGCGCTCTCTGGTGTAGGAGTATTGGTAGTACCTCGACTAAGAGACAACTGCCCCACAGTAGGGTGGCCGTCAGGACGCACTACATCCGCCTTCTTCTTCTTCCTTCTAACCTTAGGTGGATTTTTTTCTTCATTTTCCTTCCTACCAGTCGCCGTAAGTCTACACCGACGACCTTCCATTCTCTACTTATTTCTCGCCTTAATCATATCCGGTTTACCCATTCTATGTCCAGACATCTTCAAAAAAAAGTTTGAATTATTAATAATGGATTATTAATAATGGAGTACATAAAGTAATTAATTTAAGATTTTCATAATTAAAATTATAAAACTAATAGTTTGAACATTTATGTTACGTTCTATGTAATCATTATTTACATAAAAGTACATAATTAATCAAGGTAAAATTATTGATAATTAAGTAGATAAAAGAATTACTTTGAAATTTTGATTATTAAAATGATAAAAATACATTTTTAGTTTATTTATAATGTACTCATTAATTAACATTTATCGAATACGTTTTTTAAATTTTTATATCATTATTGACAAAATATATAACTAAATTATTTTTATTGAGTATATTTTTTAATCAATTTTATTATTATTAACATTTATTGAATAATAAAAAACAGAATATTTAAAAAAACAGAATTTTAATTGGCGATTTGCACAGGTGGCACGTGGCGGCGAGTTACAGAGGTGGGTCGGCGGCGGGTGAGAGGAGTTGCAGGGGGAAGGGGAATGTTTTTGAATTGAATAAGGGCTTGTGTGTTCAAGCCAATTTTGAGTTTTTCCTTGAGTTTTAGCAATTTCAAGGGCGACATTTAGCAAGCCAGTTGGTTTAAAGGACTCGGCCAGTTCAACCAGCTGAATTATCACGACTAGGGCGTTTGATCAGGCTAAACCGTAGGGTTGAGAAACAGTCTGGTCTGGTTCAGATCTGACCATATATACAGTTTATTGTCCAGACCGAGAATTTGGAGTATAGACCATAGACCAGATCATAGACTATTCGGTTCAGATTAGGCCACGTATGTGTGGTCTGGTTCGTTATGGTTTGATCTTGATAGACTATACTGAATGAAAAATGAATAATTTGATTAGTTAACTACATAAAAGATTGAACTAATAGCCAATTAAAAAATTGTTTTTTTTAAACATATATTTCAACATGCATGAATAATTTTGACACTATAAATCTAAGTAATAATAAAGATACAAAGGCTACCATTTTAGGTTGGTTGGGTGGTTCTGATTTGGGTTTTTATTTCTGTTTCCAAGGCTACCGAGCACTTATTCATTGAAAATCACAAGAAATCGATAGATAACAAGGGCTTAGGAATACATTTAAAAAGCAGAGACAATAAGTGATACCAGCTCTGTGTCATTCTATAAAGCTTGGACGATGACGTGCGTTCCATGAGCTATAACTTAAAAAATTTATTGATAATAAGCCAAATCTTGAAGCTAGGATGGGGGGGGGGGTGAATCTGATTTATCTTCGGTAATAATTTGTTTATTATCTTTAAGTTGGATAAACCATGGGTTGCCTCCCATATAACAACCTCTCTTTTATGCCTTTGAGCTAAATGAGGCCAATATCGTTTTAGTCATACTACCAATGAGGCTTCGCTGGACATTCGGCTCCCCAAATGGCTGGCAAAGGTAACTCGAGGGAATAATTAGGATAGATGTCTTGAGCCAAGATAGGCGACTCATAGACATGCACGTTAAGGCTACGCATCAATTCCTCGAATTCTCTTTTGCTTTCAGCCAACACTGAGTTCCCCTCATATATTGCCTAGATTTGAACTCCAAATCCTTTTCTATGTTGATATATTGGAAGAGTCGCGTCGATGTCCTCCAAATAGTTTGGCATAAGAGGTTTTGAGGAGTCATGATTTGATTCTACCATAGGAGGACTCGATTGGCTGGAGAAAATTCATTTCAAAGCACCTGCGTTGATATGTTTATGATATGCTCTACATTATTGATTCTCATCATGATTCGACTTTTAGGAATGTCGATTTATGAGTGGAATGCGGCTAATAAAGGCCTTCCAAATAGGATAGATTAATCTCTATCTTTGTTCATATTAGAGTACTACAATGTCGAGAGAAACTGCACCTACTTGACCATGCATAAAGGGTGACAAATAATGTTGTTATCCAATGATGTTTCCATGGTTTCCTCCTCTAGATGGTTGATGTCAAACATCTTATAAATGTAAAGGGGCATCGCGTTAAGACTAGCTCCTATGTCTGTAAGCGCATCTGTTATATGAAGATCGTTGAGGATACATGGAATGATGAAGTGCCCTGGATCAGACACATTTTTTAGTACTAGAATATGCATGTGGGAAGGTAGGTTCACCATAGTGAGCTTTAGAGAGCGCTCATGCTCATGAAATATAAGTTACCTTATTTCTTTCGTCATACCAGACATGCCTACGATAGCCTTCATATTGGTATGACAGCTTCTCTTCCTTCCAAAAATGTGAGGAACTCATTGAGGGTAGAATGAAGTAAAGAACCAAGATCTTCTCTGGGAGATGGAAAATTGGCGTCCATGCCACCAAATTCTGGCAATTTCAGGCTGTAGTGGCAGCCGAATCCTTCAAAGAGAGGATTGTTTGTCTCTTCTTGTTTCATAACATTCTTAAATTTTGCCCTTTGTGGTAGAAAAAATTTCATATTTTCAAGGTTTAGAGAGAATTCATCTCCATGATAAGGTAAGGAGTTCTTTTCTATCTTCTTTTACGTATATAAAAAAGGTTTCTTTTTGTGTACGTATAGAAGGTCGAGACTGTTCTTCGTGGTAGGTGTTAATGGATACTCCGTGTACGAGTTAACTTTAAGAACTCTCATTATCCACGGTTTTAGAATTTAATCGATTCAAAGCGGGACTGACTCATCGGCCAACTAGGTTGCCATTTATGTTCTTATGCTGTAGATGGCTCCTTCATCTTGGGATTGTTTCTCTATTTTTTTTTTGCCCAAAACAAGATTTAAAAAAATTTAGCCAATAGAAAAATCACTTTAAGTACTAGTGAGGCTATCTCTTTTTTCCCCTTGGTAGAGACTTTCGGCCTAGATGACTTTAGGGTCTACTTGTGTATTCCCAAAGACTGAAGAATTAGTGGAGAACTGAGTTCTAGAATATGTTCTAGATGACCAAAAATTGGCACCACGAGCGTCGATTTTAGTTCAAAATTGGCAGTTGAGCCGTCGATTTCTGCTTAGTGGGAAACTTCTAGGTTAGCTTTCAGCTTTGTACCTTTTGACACCTTCTGGTACTCATGGGACTGAAGTCGATAAAATTGGATTCTGGCAGGATGTTGGTGAAAATTTTGTGAGGTTCATATTGGTTTTCCCCAAAAACCTCGATATCTTCTTTAGGATTGTTTTATGTATTGTTTTGGGAGAGATTTTGTGTTCCTTTGGGTATTCTGAAACTCCAAAAGGGAAGCTAATTCGCACTTCAATTTCTTAAGAGTTTCCTCTTGAACTCTGATGTATGCACGTAGTTCATCATCAGTAAGTCCTGTTAGAGGATCAGGAGGGTTCCTGTTCTTGTTTTGGAGTGGTGGTCACCTATCAAATCCTGGTAGTGCGGGATTCGACTTTCTTACCCCAAATAGAATTGGGTGGAGCCTTCCATCTCGATGCATTTTATGATGGTACAACGCATTGGTCGATGATATTTTGGGTAGTCGGCTGACTTTGACTTCTCAGAAGTGGCTAAGGTTTAGCCGATAGTTGGCTCCATGCACGCTCTATAATCACTATTCAACTTATTATCAAAACTCCTATAACAAGTACCCATGAAATCGACCTCTTCGATTGGGGATTCGTCTATATCCCCACAGTTTTGCCCATCGTAACCATCTTTGACGCACCAGGCAAATGGTTATGCTACGATCTGGTTATGTTCCAGTTTTCATGCATTTACCACACCCATTAACTGCGCTAGATGCTGAGACAGACTGACATAGGGGCCATCTGATTGTTACACCCTTTTGTAGACATTGGAGTAGTCCTCCTAACCAAATTTTGGGACTTTGCAGCCATAAAACGCAAAAATGCTAAAGAGCTAAAGGAGGGGTCCTTGGCATTATGTCACCTATTGCAGCCTGATTCACCATCACCGTGGTTTTTAGATCAGTACCTTTGTCAAAGATGTTCGCTAACTGTTCTTGCCCAAAGCCATGAGGAGGGAATGAATGAATGAGCTCCTAAAATTGATCTCATGCTTTGTAAAACAACTCAAAAGCATATTGCCGGAAACGAGCAATCTGCTCCCTTAGATTTTCAGTTCATTGTGAAGGGAAAATTCTTTTATGAAAGCTTGGACCAGTGCCTCAACATTCTGAAAGTTCCTAGTGGTTGGTGATTTAGCTATCTCTTGAATTTCCTTCATATGGAGAAAGTAAAGAGGCGTAGCCGTATCGTGTTTGGCTCTACACCTAGATGATGCGTAGAATCAGATATATATCTTCAAAATGCTTTGATGTGTCATATCTATATTCTCGCAATCACGACCTTAAATTGTCCAACATTATATACCATATGGATCATTGAAGTCTTTAGCTTGAATTAGGCACAATAATTGGAGGCACGATGATGTTGAAAGTTATGTTCGCAATTTGAGACCTCGTGTACTCATAGAGAATTTGTTCAGCCATGCCTTGTGGAGTTTGAGGTATTTAAGGAAGCTTGTTGGTTTCTCCATCACTAGTAAAAGTTTCTCTTCAAGCTTCTAAGTCATCATCCAAGTCCCATGAACTTTGTTGCGTTGTCATTCTAGTGATCACGACCATCCAAAAAATGTCATGAAAATGCCAAGATATGGAAGGTTGATAACTCATATTTTACGTGTTATCAAATATCTTCACATGTTGGTGCTTGCTTGTCCCAAGCAAATATTTGATTCAAACGACAAATCCTGAACAAAACGTTCTCAAGTGAAGAAAGGCACAATGCACAATCTTAGGTTCTTGGTGTACGTAGAAGGAATAATGGATCTTTACACTTTCTCAACAACCTTCACTCATTTGTGCTTTTTTTGAGGTTGTATACTTGTATCAACTTAAAAAAAACGATGTTTCTGACCGGGCAAGCATTTTGTTTTTTTTTTTCCTCCGACCTATACCTCCACCCATGTGGATGGGCCATTATGTAGGGATGACCAACCTTTGAATGGCTTATCACCGACTCTGATAGGAGGGGCTCTATACACATCACCCTCAAACATCAAATTCTGATCAAAAGTAACTATACACAAGAGTTGCCCTTATTTGTTCGGGTGCAGACCTTTTTAGGGTAGCATGCATACAACTACTTCAGAGGGATGTATACTTGTTGCCTTTATTCATCGCTGTAAGGGCCTCATTAAGGTCGTCTAATTGTCCCTCCCTCGTCACTCGATTGGTGCCACACATAAAATTTGTAAGTTACAACTTACAACCCACTTTCAATGCTTCATTAAACTTCGTTATGGAAAGCACAGAGCCTGGCTTAGAATTCTCAAATTTGAAAAAAATAAAAATGGAATGATTCCTACCATCAAATGGAATGATTCCTACCATCATGCATATCCAACCACCATACACTCACACATTCGACAATCGCATTCTTATACACATTCACAGATGATCTATTCATCATCACACGAGAAACAAATCGAAATGGCATCACCCATGGCGTTCAAAGCATTTTTACTTCTTTTGTAACGGTTCAAAGAATTGCATAGAGCATCAACTTATGATCTTTTTCTGCTTTAGGTCAAAGAACCAATTAAGTTAGATTAGCGTGATGCAATGCTTTTCCTTATATGCTTAAAATTGAAGAGGGCGATTAGCACTTTTTTCTGGTGTGAGGGTGAGGGGGAGGAGGTTGCCATCTTTACACTCAATGGGGACACGCTTAGCCTATACCAAGTATAAAAGAGATGAAAGAAAGAAAGCAGAGATGGATGGCAGTAGTTGCCAGACTCATGGTAAATCATAAAGATTTCAGTTTTGAAAAGGTAAATAATCAGTTTTAACCCCAAAATGCTAACCTCTCCTAAGACACAACAGTCAGCAACTGAGCCTACCCAAACCCCATCATTAATCATTCCGCTTGGAAACACAAAACACACTTGGGATTCTTATCAGTGTGTTTTATGGTTTCCAAAACAAAAGCCTGAAATTCAAACCCAAAAATTTGCATATCTACCTTCTTTACCTTGTTGTTGCCCCTAATGGACATACTACTAACATCAACCACGAACAAAACCATGACGGGCTGAGTTACAGGGCCATCTAAAATTTTCCAGTCTTAAATCTACTCATCCTTTGGTTCTCATGATTGTGATGCTCCCTTTTCCTCCTTCTGTACGGATTTTAGTCTTCCCAACAACTGGCTTACCAGAGAAAGCAGAAGTCGGGTAAGTCGCTGGATCTTCTTCCTGCTGCTTAGATTTTGATGGTGGTGGAGTAAGGATCCGCTGGTTTATGTCCTTTAGGGTGACATCTCCATGATATGCACAGGGTTTGATGAAGGCAAAAGGATATGCAACAGAAGAAGGTAACCTGGTTGGTGGTCGAATAAATGACCTCCTCCCTACAAGAGAAAAAATAGAAATGGGTCATGTGGATACTGGAGATGATGAACCCCAATGGTGACACAGATGAACATGAATCAGACTTGCCTCTAAAGATTATATTTTTAGGAAGGCGAGACACCCGATTGGTAACTGCATTGGCTGAAAGCTCAGGCGATGGATGACACAAATCTAAAGCAGCAAGAATATATTAACAACTTAGTAGGATTGCAATTACAACTGAAAAGGAAGATCAATGACACAAAAAGAGACAGTTTCATGTACCCCTGATATCGATTTGACCTTCAGATGATCCTGCGAAGTCCCTGAATTCGATAAACTAGACCAGTGAGATCAGAGCAGTAGAGTAGTCAGACTCAAAGTTTAAACATCAAATGTGCTTACATATCAACAGAACTACACTGCATCTCAGTGTCATTGAAGCACTCATAAAGCCTGCCTCCAGATGAATGATTCAGACCATCATAGCCTGAGGCAGCAAAATCTAAAAATATAAGACAATGACATTTTCAAGCAATAACCATAGAGCATATCAACTTCAGAAGACTATCTGGGGATCAACCTGTTGCTCCATGAACCCACTGTGATGCAACAGGCAAAACATCTTCCAGCGAATCTACCCTCTCCTGAATGAAGGACTCAGTTATAAAAGCAGAAAGGGGATATAGAAGCACTCCACAGAGGAAGAAAACAAAGTAGAATCAATTTCTTCAGTGCACTGAAGTAAAATACAGCCATGAAATCAGTTCGAGAAGTTGCACTGCAATGCGACCAATATACCCTTATACAAATAGAGTGGTAAGCATCTATCCCAAAAGCCGTACCAGTACACAATGCATGTTTCAAGAAGCATTCCCTCAATATAAGTACTCAATGCATCAGTTAAGAGAACCACAACATCACAATTCATAGTAGTACTAAACAAGTACAGAGACCCACTGACATTTGATTTCAGGAATGCAGATGACATTTCCTCGTCACAATAGGGCGAAGCTAGCAGTTCAGTGTCATACTGTAGCATACGACGTCTCTTTAGCTGAGACGAAGTCTCTCTACATTCTTGTAGTTCCTTATTCATGCTATCTGCAGTTCAACAATTTCTGATCAGAAACAACAGTTGAAAAAGTCATATGAAATAAGGGACACAAACAACGAGAGCAGGATATGAAGGTCATACCACCATGCCCAATATGGTAAGCCAAATCACCACAAGCTTTAACCGGAGTTGTTTCATCAAACATATAGGAGAGATCCTCTTCATTCAGTCCCACTTCATTCCATAATGAATCTGTTACCCATAAGTTCACCCAGAACTTCAATCACTAGTCCCCAATATCAATCCTAAGCATAGAAAGATACACTCTTATATCAACAAATCGAGAAACCATACAGCAAGCTACCTGGATCCATGTTCTTGGGCATATCATGATTCTCCAACTGCCAATTCCAATTCCCTCCACTGCTGCTGCAATATGATAGAATAATGAGCACAAACCGAGGAAATGGACTTACTACCAACCGACTATACAAAGATCCAAACCTCATACTATCCTACATTCATAATCATAAATAAGAACATGACAAATTAATAGGATTGAGGTGCAGCATTTCGGACCCATTCCGGAGCAGTGGTACAATTTCCAACATCTCATACATATCATCCTCGCTTTAAGAACACTTTAGTAGCCAGTACCAAACATTCACTAGCCTGAAGGCCCATCACAGTTGTCCAGGAGAAGATATAAATAGTGGCAACTTAGATGTAAGACTAAAAGTAAAGTGGTTCAGCCATTGGATGCTATAGCCAGCAGTGAAGCCAACACATCACGGAGGATAAAAGGAATGTCGATATGCTTTTTTCAGGATGGCACTGTCCCAATGGGTTACCACCAGCAACTCAAAAGTCAAAAGGAAAACAGATTGACCCACCAAATTTCAGGAGCTAACATAATTGAGAATTCTAATCCTTGCATTATTTGACCTTCTAACAGTACAATCCGAATGCACTTAGACATTCCCCTTTCAATTAAAACAAAATACCAAAAATCAAGGCATTACCGAGCAGCGGCTGTGTTCTGAATCCGCATTGATCAAATAGAACACCAGAGAAATAAACGAAACTCCACTACCCGATTCAAAACCCAAAAGAAAAAACAAGCTGATCACTGGGGAAGGAAATAGATTTCAGGAAAATGCATCTCCCAAACAGAACCACCCATCAAGATTAAGAATCAAAGAGACCCATATAGAGGTTTACCTGTTACTGCTGTCCATCTCCGGCTCCGCCGTAACCAAATCGGAGAAGAGAATGTACCCTTTCCTCTTCCCTCGCGCCCGATAGAGCAAAGAGGGGAAAATAACACCCAAAAGAAGAAGGGGAAAAGAAGGAATCACAGTCCTCACTCGCGAGAACAAGTAACCAGAAGTAGCCGTTACAGAGAAACAGATCGCTTCCCTTCCACTGTATCAGTGGTATGCCTCGGCCTTACTGCTGTTGATGCGGTTTATGCCAACTCTCTCCACGCTGCATACTCTCCCCTTTTAAAGGCGCCGTTGCTTTCTCTATCTGTGGACTGTCCCCCTTTATTTCTTTCTATTTTCTAAATATTTATAGTTTTTGTTTTTAATGCGTTGCCATTTCTATCCCGTATATATTTGTTTGTAGTCTGTAGACAGGGAAACGCCAAAAAGAAAACACAGAAAAAACGAAGGGAAAACAATGACGGGCTGGGGGCCGGGATCGTGGAACCCGCTATTCTACTAGTAAGTCGGACGGGTCAATAGCATAAAAGGTCATGCAAGGTCATGCACTAACTAACAAACAAATCAGTCACTTACGTTTCAATTTTAACAAATCGATCATTTATATTTACACTAACTAACTCACAAGTAATTCCGTCAACTTCTGTCAACTCTCCATCCAAAATTGTCATGTCACCAAATAATATATTAAAATAATCAAATTCAAAAACCAAACCCAACCATTCTAAATTTTCAATCCCATAAAACTAACCAACCTAAGTCCCTTGTCCTGCCATCGCCGTCCAGCCTCGCCGGACACTACGGTCGTCGCTGCTGCTTCAGACTTCTCCTCTCTGTGGACTCCCCTGGCACCAACGTTGTCGCCCTCCTTTCTTCAGCCACTATGGCTTCTCTCACTCACGCCAAATCGCTCGGCGATGATAACTCTCTTCCTCCTGCCATCGTCGTGGGCATCTTCTCTTCCTCTCTCCAGCCAGCCGGTCTCCCTTGTCCTCCTTTGTTCGCATCCAATCCCAAGCTCGCCTCCTCCCTATTCGAAGAATGAGAACAGAGAAAGGGAAGGTTCTGCTTTTCCCTCTCTTTATGTCCCAAAGGCCAAAACTGAAATCCCTTTTCGCCAAAAAAAAAAAAAAACAAAATCCCTAAAAACATAGAGTAGATCCACCTATCACAAAAAAATGGGATCTTAGCTCTCAAAAAGAACAAAAACCCCTAAAAAATGACTGCTCCCTCTCTGTATTTGTTGAGTTCCAATTACTTGGCCTTCTTCAATTCAAGAAAATGAAAGGGAGAATTAGAGTGAGAAAGAGAGACAATCAGTGCGTGAGTGGTGGGAGAAGAGGAAGACGGAGACTCAAACTTGGACTCGAGTGAGAAACAGAGAAGAGAAGCCCGGTAAACGGTTATACCAAATATCGGTTTACCGAATACCAACCCTAAATTACTTAGATTGATTAAAGGACTAAATTACATGTTTGGTCACTCAAATTACATAAATATTTCACATTTGCCATCCAAATTGCTTTTCTTTCTTATTCGCCACTAACTTTAAGAATTGTTTCACCGTTAGTCACCGGTCATTAGTCTCCATCAGCCTCCGTTAACTCAGTCAGTTTTTGGATGACGTGGCAAGCAAAACTGCTGCCTGGACTGTTAACTTATGACATGTCAATTTAAAAAAATTAAAAATTAACTTGATTGGAACAAAAGTCGGCAGACACACATTGCTTCACCTCCCACTTTCTACCCCAACAGTTTCAGTTTCTTTCCTGTTCCCTCCGTTGTATTTCACCATGGCGGCGACGACAACCATGAAAGCATGGCAAGGCCGCCACAACAAAAGCTTCTCACCTCATCATCATCAAAATCATCCCCACCATGCTCCTCTCCAACTCAACCTCATGCCTTATTCCTCCTCTTCCGCGCGCTCCCCAGCCGCCTTACCCCTTCCCCACCCTACCCCCGTCGCCACGCAAATCACCCCAAAAACTCCTCTTCAATTAACCATGCTGCTCTGATTTTGAATCATTCATCTGGTAATGGATCTCTCACTGTGTTCCTCTTTCTCTTGCATTACTTCTTTCCATGATTTGAAAGTGTCGTTTTGATTTTTTTCCCCAATTAATTAAGCTCGCTTTTTCTCTTTTGATCAGAGGAAGAAAAATTGGAATATATAGCTTTTTCTGATTCAATCGACTTTGCAGTTTTTTCTTCTCTACTCTAGATCCGAATTAGGACTCGAACCAGAGCGAGAATATGAGATCGTTCCTGCGAGGGATCAACGTGAACCGACTCCCGGCTGCGTTGGCCGTCGATTGTGAGGAGGAAGCAGTCGTTTTTTTCTCCGAACAGTATCGTTTCTAGTATCAGGGGGAGAGTAGCGAGAGGGACCAACCAGCTAGTACCGAATCCACCGGAGAGGATCTCGACGCCGCCAACATCCACGGAGGGATCAGCGAGGAGGAAGACGGTGACGCTTCCTGGAAGAAGCTCTGGTTGTCCAAAGATCAGTCTGCCGTTCTCGAAGAGAGCTTCAAGGAGGCATACGCCGGAGACTGATCCCGACTCGAATTTTAGGCAAGCTGGGTCGGGAATCTAGATTGGCGGACATGTCATTTTTTTGTTTTTATTTATTAAATAATTAATATGATAAATAATATGGACAAGTAAGTGGAACGATGAGGTGGAAAATTAAATTAAATTTTTTAATTTTTAAAATTTCCACGTCATCTAGTTAACGGTCAAATTTTATTGTTGACTATCATATAGGACAAATTTAACGGAGTATAACGACCGGTGACTAACGGTGAAACTATTCGTAAAGTTAGTGGCAAATAAGAAAGAAAAGTAATTCAAGTGGCAAAAGTGAAAGAATTGTATAATTTGAGTGACCAAACGTGTAATTTAACCTTGATTAAAGTGTTTGCTAATTTGGGACATGGAATTGACTGGACACATTTAGTTAGTTGTGATACCAAGTAAACATGGTAGTGACTATATTGTTCTTTGTTTCCACTTGAGTTCATCCAAATGAACTTAACGTATACTCTCAGTATTGGAGTTCAATTGCAACAAACGTCAAAGAAAATGGGGGATAAAAAGTGTACAATTAGGCCCGGATCACCCATCCCCCCACACTTAGACGTTTACTTCTTCCCAAGCAAACCATTTCACATAAGGTAATCTCTCAACCTAACAAAATGCTTTGGGAACAAATCAAAGGGCACAAAGTGGCGAATCTCAATGGCTATTGGCAATTAACACATGGACCGTTGCAAGCAATACCGACATCCACCACAAACGACATTCAAGGTCACCAAAATGGGCAGACGAAAACTTCTCACATTGTTCATGAATCAATGCAAGTCTCAACAAGATCACTTATAAACCACAACTAACCATGCATAACATTCAAGTCCAAGGAACGAACGAAGGGGCAACAAAGGTCCTAACCGGGGTATGATATAACATGCAAAGCAAGAATGAATGACTCACTCTCTTGACCAGTGGGGTCGGGACCTTTTTGGTGCAAAGAATGTGCACAATCATCAACACTTTGCCCTATCGTCTCTTCACCAAGGCAACAACCTCTAAATGTTAGAGTTCATGGGACGTTTGTCATCACCAGCTTGTCCGAAGGTCTTAGACACGAGTTCAAATGACTGGCAATTGACTTGGACATGGGAAAGGCTTTTTGGGTGGTGGAAAACACATCATTAGGTCCTACATCTTCACTCTAAATCCAAAGGTTCTATGGTTTCGACTAAGAACCTTCCCTACAATCAATGGCCACTAGCATCGGCCAAAAACCTTGCTTCTCCCTTCCAACCTATCACCCATCAACTACCTTTAAGCGCTCTTCCTCGGTCTCTTCTTGCTATCATATTTCGATTTGGTAGCGAATGAGTTCTAAAATAATGATGTGGGGGTTTCAATGGATTGAATGCCAAGAAATCCCACTTAGAGCATACTCTTCGAATCTTTTGTGGCACTCTCTACTTTATTGACCCCGTTTTATTACCTCTTTTTCATTTCTCTTTCTTTTTTATTTATTTCTACTTTCCTTTTCTTTTCTTTTTGAGGGGGATACTAGAGAGTTAAACACTTGCCGCACTACTTTTAACAACCAATGCTCTCCTTTAAGAATCACTCCAACACTACTCTTTTCTCTTTCATTCCTAGCAAGAACCACGCATAATTCTCCTATGTAGAACCTCAATGGAACTCAAAAGCGAGAGCTCCAGGACACAAGGTCGACACACGTATAGACACGAAGAAAGTATGGGAGGTTGTTCTATCAAACACCATTAAGCTCACAAGCACAAAGCTCCTAATCATGAAACAACCCCCAAAGTCATAAGGCTCAAAGGGGTTGACTAGGGGATAAAACATTTCGGGACAATCAACATTTGGGCGTGGACTAATCCTATTCCTTCATCATACTCACTAGTGATAACTGTGATGTTACTCGCCATGGTAAGAGGGATTTAAGCACACAAGAAGAAAACGATCGGTCAAAACTCACATGGCTACCTAGTCACCCAATCATTCATTCCACTTTCCCAAAACACAATTCATGACAATTATAATCAACAAGTAATCGAGTCAAGACATCCATTCATTTTTGCACCCATGAGAACTAAACTTTTGCACTATCCTAATGCACCTCTCAGTCATCATCATAGGACACACTCGACGACATGCAACAATTCAAGGTCAATGCCAATAAACACGAGATTCTCCTACAAACCGACCACTTTGATCATGCAAACTGACTCGCTAAAACACAACTCCTAACAGTGGCCAAGTGTAACCAATGAAAGGGACTGCAATATAGTGGTGCAAGTAATAAATATCGAATCCACGGGTCTCTAGAGTTACTATTACTTAGCTTCAGTTCATTATTTAGCAAACCATATTAAGAAAGAAGAACTATAACTACTCTAGCAAACTACAGTTAAAGTTAATCTAATTACAGGTTAGGAACTCACTTAGGTATGATTCCCCCTAGCCACTAGCTAGATTAATGATTGATGATCTTTAACCTGTTTCACTTTCATTCAAAATGCGGAGAATCCTTGACTAGACATTGAATCTTGACTAAAGGATCAAGGCCCTCTTGAGTCAATTGCCTAGAGGGACGTATCCTTCTCTAGAACAACCGATCAAGGCTAACTGAACTAGATTCCCTCTATAGAATGAGATTCTCAATCGATACAAAGTAGTGAATCGACCCTCAACTAAAGCAGTCGATCCAATACTATCAATCTATGGTGCTCTGTTTACCTAATCAAGTATTCTCTCTCATAGGATCAAAGCAGAATCAATAATCTCGACTAAAGTAGAATTGAATCATGAAAACATGCATAGATTGAATATGAACTCAAGATTATCAAGTAAAAGTACTCATACAATCATCCAATCAAACAAACATGGCTAGGGTTCCTCAAAACCTAAGTGAAGGGAAGTTACTCCATAGAGAAGAGAGAGAATGCATACATCTGATTTAGATCTTCAATATCCATATCCAAGCTTGATTCCCGAGCTCCAATGGTGAAGAAATCCTCCAAAATAGCTCCAAGAATGATCCCAAGTTGCTCTCTCTCTCTCTCTCTCCCTCTAGGGTTCGTCCCTTCCCTTGGGTGTTTTGGGATCCAAAACCCAGCTCCCCCCCCCCTCTTCAAAATTCGAAATTGGGTTAAAATGCAGCTGCCCGCGATTATACAGTTAGGCCGCACGACCGTGCAACATCCTTGGCTGCCCGTGCAACCAAAATGCAGCATTTGAATTAGTTCCGCGAAGGGAGTGCATGGCCATTGCACGCCCCGTGCAATCCGAGAGCCTGGCCGTGCAGCTTCTCGCAGAATTCATCACGGACAAAAAATAAGTCATGCACGGCCGTGCAAACCCTGATCGCGCATCTTTGCTTGCACGGCCACCATGCACGGTTGTGCGTCTTTCCGGACTGGCTATGCAACTTGTCTACTCTCCATCGCTCATCCCGTCTTCGCCCAATCAACCCCGAACTCATGCTCAAACCTCATTCATGCATTAGGACCTGAAATGTCATAAACAAGAACAACCTAGCGTAAAATCAGCTTAAACCCCGAGATCCGAGCCCCAAACAGTATAAGAATGGTGGACAAAAACATGTGTAAATATCAAGTCATCACAAACATTGATTGGAGCCCTCAAATTTTTCAAATTTGGGCATACATCAAGGCTACAAGCATCAATCATGCTCACACAAGCATAAGAATAAACTTACCCCCCCCCCCCCCCCAACACACACACACACACGCACACACATTTAAGTTCGACATTGCCCTCAATAGCGTAAGATAGGGGTAGAACGATGTTACCGCTTTACTTGGTGAGTGAAAGTTGGAATTGTTTCCAGGGTAGGAGATGGAAGCTTCAAGGAGAAGACAAAAAAACACATATACAAACACAATACGACTCGCTCGGGGCGAGGTTATTACACATCACAATACGATAGCAGTAATTTATGATCACACACACAAAATAAAAGAAAGAAAAATAAAACAAAAGAGTTTAGAGTTCCAAGTGGAGTAGTGGGGCAAAAGGAATCGGCTCTGCCACATATCTCCCTTGTCGGCTACTTCTCACTGGGTCGAACGCCCCGGCTCATCATCTGGAATGAGGCTCAGGCGACGCGCCATCTGCTAAAGTAGGTTGGTTTGCCGATTGAGTCGGGAAGTCACTCCCACGACATGGGTCTCAAGGCGATCCATCCTTTGAACGAGGGGAACACCAGCTAGTGGTGTTGGTGCTTCTGGTGGTGGTGGAACTGGGTGCTGGAGCGCGGGATTCTGGAGGCTGCCAGGATCTCGAGCAGGTGGCTGCTCCGGAGGTGGGGCTCTGGTGGCATAGGTAGTCTCTCAATGAACTGGAATGGTCGAAAAGATCTCAGCAACTGCATGGAACCCAAAGTGCTCTTTTCGAACGCCGTGGAGCGCCCCTAATAGGTGCAGTCTGCCAGATTGACATTCAAGTGACGGACGAGACAAGTAATGTAGGGCCCCATTGATGTGATATATCGTCGTTTGCCCCCTATGGCTCTAGCAAAAGAGGTGGCCATGACTGGACCAAGATGAAGGTTGCTAAACAGATCCGCCATGGAAGCAAATGCCAGCAAGATCCTCTCGGTTTTCTTGTTCGGATTGTTATAGCTCGGGTAGAGGGAACGGGCTAGGTGTGCGTTGATGATGCGCCACTATGGCTTGACTGTGGACGCCAATGTGATGTCGATCGAAACGATGTTCGTTGGTGCTCCGGAAGGCAAAACCTTCTATATGTTGCATTCAGGTCACAAACTCTGATGGCGTCCTCTTCCCACTCGTCCTCACTCCCATCATAAGTTCCCAATGATCGGTCAAACTCGCCAAAAGACATTTTGTGTCATTTCCCACCCAAGTGGAATTTCACCCTACGGCAGCGAGCGCCGAGCGTGCTGTTTTTCGTGAGGATGGTGAAGGTACTTAAAAACTCGACACACAACTCCTAAAAAATGCCATCCTCCATTTCAAGGAGTCGGCGCCATGATATCCCCACAGTGAAGGCTATCGAATTGATTGAAGTCGAGTTTCCAGTGTTCTCTGGAGTTAGTGCTCGCCCAAAATCACATCTCCCTCTCCGCTTTGGGGCTCCCTCTCAGTGACACAAGGTACGGGTGGTTCATGCTGACTTTCTTATAAAATCGACAAACATGCACCATACGTGGAAATAATTGTCAATCTCAGCTCATTGGGAGAAAAAAGAATCTCCCCCACACTTGTATTTCCAGTACGGATCCATGCTAATCAAAACAATTAAGCCTAAGCACACCGAGGCATGGTTCTAGGTGGTCACCGATTATCTCTCACAAAAATTCAAACCCAAAACCATGCCACGGTGGCTATCAACCACCACTCAAGCAAAACATTTCTCATCATTAAAAAATTAGCACTTGGTGGGCAAATTTCACACATAAAAGCAATTTGAATTAGAACATGCCCACCAAGGCTCAACTAAGCTCAAGCAACATCAATCAATCATTCAATCACCCTAATTCAACTAATTCCTCACCCTAATGCTAAGTTCAACAATCAATTCACTAAAACTCTCCTCACTTCACTACCTAATTCGATTCTCCCAAAATAAATAAGGTAGAGCTAAAAGCAAACCTGGAGACTCAAGTAGGATGTAGGTGTAAATGAGGTAAGGGTGAGGACGGTGAAAATTGTCCAAAAAACAAACCGAAGAAGTTCGCCGGAGCTTCATCGAAAGCTCGCCGGACTCTCGTCAGAGGCTCACCGACGGCGACTTCGCCGGAAAACTTGTGCTCCAAATCTCCCCAAAATCCCGGCGAATGGCGCCTTTGAAGAGGGGAGAATGGGTTTGTGCTTGGTTTTGGGTTTTGATCGCCTGAAGTGGATGAAATCGCCGAAAACCATCGGAATTTTGCGCTTTCCGACGAGATTTGAAAATTTCCGGCAATTATTGGGTCTTGAAGTGAAGAGTCGACGTTCACGACCCTTTTATAAGAAGACCCTTGAGTGCTTAGACGTGTTTGCCTGTTCACGGTCTTAGAGACTGTTAACACTGCAATCCGTACGTGAACTCAGGCATCCCGGTGGGTTTGACACACGTGGAAGCACTGATGACTTGATATATACACATGTTTTTGTCCACCATTCTTATACCGTTTGAGCCTCATTTCTCGTATCTTAGGCCGATTTCACGCTAGGTTGTTCTTGTTTGTGATATTTCAGGTTCTAGTACGTGATTGGAGGTTTGGGAAACGTGAAATTTTATTACTTTAGCATTTTCTTTACTGCATTTTCTCTCTTCCACCTGTGTGCCTTCACGGGTTGCTTTTGGTGATTGCGTGCAGGTAGTGCATGACCCGTAGCCAGTCGGGAGATTTACTACCATTAGACCAAGAGGTTGAACGGACTTGTAGGAACTTCAAGCGGGCTTTAATGGCGCGTCTGGCTGCGGAGGAGGCTCTAGCACAGCTGCAAATCACCGAGGAGGAAGAAATGGGTGAACAACAAAACAATGGTGTGGTCATTCTCGAGGAGCAGACCATGGGGTACTACTGGACCGCCAGCCACAAACATGAGGTCGCCCATCCAACACCCTCAAGTTCCAGAAAATAACTTTGAGGTGAGCACCTGTGTCATCACCATGCTGCGCGGCTCGGTGGTATTCCGTGGCAAGGAGGGGGAGTGCCCCCGATCACACCTGAGGCAATTCCACGAGCTTATCGATGGGATCAAGATCAATGGGGTCCCAGCCGATGCCATCCAGTTGAGGTATTTCCCATTTACTTTGGAGGGGCAAGCCAAGGAGTTTATGGACACTAGGCCTCCCGGATCGATCACCAAGTTCGCCAACTTGGCGGACAAGTTCCTCACCCGCTACCATCCTCCATCAAAAACGGCGAACCTGCAGAAGCAGATCACCCACTTTGCCCAGGATGAAGACGAGACCATTCGGGATGTTTGGGAGAGATACACCAGTATTTTCCTCAAGTGTCCCAACCATGGTTTTACTGACGCCTTCAAGGTTGGCAACTTCTACCATGACCTCTTCCCAGAAGACAAGCAGCTGATTGACTCGATTTGCGGCGGGAATATGCTCACCAAGTCACCACCACAGCTGAATCAACTCTTTGAAGAGATGGCAGAGCAGGGATATGATTGGGGAACTGCGAGGAGATCGATATGAGCACTAGGGCGGGGTGTGCATGCTGTAGCCACCTAGTCGTCTGATTTGGTACATGTGGTATCTAAGCTAGTCTCAGGAATTGATCATTCTGGGATGGTCTCAGGGACATGACAACAGCAGACGATGCATTGCCAGTGGTGCGAGAGCACCCATCATACTGTGGAAGACTGTCAGGCGATGAGGGAGACGATTACACCCCAAGAGCAGGTGAACTTCATCAACAATGCTAGGCGCAATGACCTCTACAATAACACGTATAACGAGGGGTGGCGCCAGCATCCCAACTTCTCATGGAGTGGAAATAATCCTAAGCCACCAGTCTCCCAGGGACCTCCAGGCCTCCAGAGACAGCCATATCAGCCAAGGTAGGGCAATTCCAGCAACAACAGTAGTCTCTCTACTAGCCCATGCAAGGGCATGCTGCTCAACCACAACCGCGACCTTTCCAGCAGGCTGTTTTGCAGGATAACCAAACCCAGCTGGGGAGTGTGGCTCAAGCAGTGGCACAGAGGGCTTCGGGTACCTTGCCGGGTCATACCATTCCTAATCCGAAGGACCCGAATGCCTACTGTAATGCTATCACTACAAGGAGCGGCAAAGTGACTGCAGACCTGTCCTGGCCAGACAAGCAGGAGAGAGACTTGCTTCGACATTTCCACTTGTTGAAAAAGAAATGGAGAAAGAGGTTGAGGTGCTTGCTCCTAAGGCGCAGCCAGTGGTGAAGGAGTATGTCCCTAAACTTCCCTTCCCTACTCGGTTGCACAAAGACCGGCTAGAGGCAGAGTTCGGGAACTTCATGTCCATGCTTAGGAAGCTGAATGTTCAAGTTCCCTTCCTGGAGGCACTATCTCAAATGACTAAGTATGCGAAGTTCCTGAAGGATCTTCTCTCGAAGAAGAAGAAGTTAAGCGAGCTGGCCACTATGGAGCTCAGCGAGGAGTGTTCGGCCATCTTGCAGAACAAGCTCCCGCAGAAGCGGAAGGACCCAGGTAGTTTTACTATCCTGTGCTCTATTGGTAATTTGCATGTAGAGAGGTCCTTGGCGGACCTAGGTGCTAGTATTAATGTGATACCATATAAATTATTCAAGAAACTAGGCCCAGGTGAACCTAGTGCAACTAGGATGAGTATTCAATTAGCTGACCGATCTGTAGTTCATCCTAGGGGTATAGTGGAAGACCTCCCGGTTAAGGTTGGCAGATTCTTTTATCCTGTGGATTTTGATGTCTTGGACATTAATGAAGACGCATAAGTGCCCCTTATACTAGGTCGGCCTTTCCTAGCCACCGCTTAGGATCTCATAAATGTGCATGATGGGACCCTTACTTTGAGAGATGGCGAGGAGCAGATAACATTTTACATTGCTAATAATATGAATGTTATCTCACCTGTGCATGTTTTATCTCACCAGGTAAGGCAGTCGTGTATCCTTCTATGTCTCCCGTTTTGTAGGACTTTGCGCCCCCTCCTCCTCCACCGCCCCCGCTTTCTCAGTTACCAACAGCACGGATTAAGGAGGAGTGGCGGCCGAAACTGCAGGCAGCTACACCTGCTCAGAAGAAAGCTAGAGACCACTATGAGCTGGTCCCAACTCCTGAGCCACGACCGCCTTGGCCATTCGAGTATTCACTAGCTTGCATCTTGCCAGATGGCCAGGTCGAGTTGATGAGTGTTGGTGGTCACACCCGTCGTGTGCATGGCCATCATCTGAATTTGTACCTCAAGAGCAATGTGGATCCTCTCTTGGAGGCACCTGCTCCTACACCTCTATGAGCATCCACCCTACTGGCGTCTAGCTAAAAGACGGTAAAGAAGCGCTGGTGGGGAGGAAACCCCACCAAGGTTTGTTTTCCTTTCATTTGTTTTTTGTTTATCCACTTAAAACTATGGTTTCTATCACCCTGTGTGTTTTGATGACTCTCGCCCTGCTGACTGGTCCAATTTCCAGTCCCCCGGCAGTTCGTTTTCCTAGTAACATCATTTCCCCTTATCCTTCCATCTGCTCCATTGAGGGCAATGTCGAACTTAAGTGTGTGTGTGTGTGGGGGGGGGGGGTGCTTTGTATTGGTTGGAACCTATATATGTGTGCTTGGAGCCTAGTATGCTATCCAAATCTCGAGATTTGAGGGCTACTAATGTTTGCATGATCATATTGGCATTGTGGGTTTGATTGGTGAATCGAATGGCTTTCGAATTAATGCATGACAACTTGATTGTGTAGGGGTTCAGTTTTTCAACTATTTGCTTACCAATTGTGACTTGGATTGATCACTTGCTCTTGACAGTCATTTATACATCTAGTTCAGGGAATCAGAATGAGAGATAGAGCATATAGGTAGCCATGTGAGATTTGAGCCTGCTCGTTTCTTTCCTGTGTGATAGATCCATCTTTCATGATGTGTAGCATTCACGTTGTCACTAGTTAAGATGATGGAGGCATATGAATAGCCCACGACCAAATTGACTGTCCTGGTGTGTCATACCCCCTAGTCAGCCCTTTGAGCCGGGTACTTTCCTTTCTTTCGATCTACAATAGAAAATCACCCTTTTGCATCTCTTAGAAGGTTCCACAGAGTGGTTTTTGCTTGTTCTCTGCTGTTTCTGCTAAAAATAATGTGAGGGCTGGAGGTAGTGCTTAAAAGTTGGGCATGTAATTGAAAAAATGTTCAGAGGTGGCGGTTCTGTCAAGAAATGAAAAAAAAATGAAAAAAAAGATGAATGAAAGCAAAAGAGAGCCACTACCAAAAAGTTGAATCATGCTCATTAATTAGTGTTTCTTAGCAGTCTGGCTTGGAAATACTAAAATTATTGTGACCTCCTTCGCTCTTGTTCTCTAAGGAATTTAAGTAATGCAGAATGGCAGAAAAAAAGTAACTGGTTTGATTGGCTGTGAATGTGTTGGGTTTGGAACTGTGGAACCTTGTGCTATGAATACTTCCACTACCTAAAAGGCTTTTCCACCATGTCCAAGACCCTAGCCAGTCACTTGAACCTGTGTCTAAGACCTCCAAATTAGTTAGTGGTGACATCCCTTGTCTGAACTCTAACATTTAGAGGCTGCCATCATGGTGAAGAGATGTTAGGATTTGAGAGAATAAGCATGCACATTTTTTGCATCAAATTGTCCTGACCCCACTGGTCGAGAGTGAGCGATTCATTTCCTAGATGGCTCGGTCTTGATTCTGATGTCTTGAGTTTGATGCATGCGATGACTGTCTTGGTTAAGTGTTTGAGTCAAGTCTATGTTGGTTGGTGAACAGAAAGGATTCCTCTTCCTTTACCCGATTTTGCTGCACTCGAATGTCCTCTGTGGTGGTTGTCTAGGTTGCTGTTGAGTTGTCCATATGTCAATGATCAAAAGAAGTATGATTCACGTGTTCTGTGCCTATATGATATGTCCTCAAAGTTGGTACGATTGAAATGTGTTGAGCTTACCTTGTATCTGACTCGGTTTGTTTGGGGACAAGCAAACAGTTAAGTGTGGGGGAATTTGATGACTTGATATATACACATGTTTTTGTCCACCATTCTTATACCGCTTGAGCCTCATTTCTCGTATCTTAGGCCGATTTCACGCAAGGTTGTTCTTGTTTGTGATATTCCAGGTCCTAATTCGTGATTGGAGGTTTGGGAATGAGTGCGGGGTCGATTGAACGAAGGTTGGACGTTGGGCCAGAAGCTGAGGAAAACACATGGCCAGACCTAGCAGCCACACGGCCGTGTGGAATTCCATTGCGCGGGAAAAACCACACTGGCCGTGTACCGGGTCCCTTGAGGCCGTGTGGAAATCACAGAGATGTCACACGGGCCGACCGATATTTCACACGGCCGTGCATTTCTGGCCGTGTGACGTGCATGAGATCACTTAAGTGAAACGCGGCGTTTTCACCTCCACACGGGCAGCTGGGATTTCCACACGACCGTGTGCCCTGGTCGTGTAGTCGGGAAATTCTGTGTTTTAACCCAATTTCGGGTCTTTTGGAGGGGGATCGAGTTTTTGAGCAAAAAACAGAGCTTTAGAGAGAGAAAGTGCGAAGAACAAACCGTAGGAGCTATTTGGAGTGGATTTCTCACCATTGAAACCCAGATTGCATCCCTAGGAGTGAAGATCAACATCCCAGAGAAGATTATCCTCATCTTTATGGGTATGACTACTCTGATTTCTGTTTTCCTCTCTCTCTCTCTCTCTCTATGGAGTAGAACCTTCTCTCACTTGGGTATGAAGAACCCTAGTTCCATGTGTTAGGGATCTTGATAGTAATAAATTTGGATTGATATACTAATTGATTTTAATCGATTGATGCATTATTCATTGAGTCAATTGAAGCCTAGCCATCTTTTCTTGATTTCTGCTGCAACCTAAGATAGATAGAATCTAATTAGGTTGTTAGAGCTTCATCAATCGGTAGTGATAGATTAGTTATACGAGAGTTAATCGATTTACTGCTTTGTACTGGAACCCAATTCCAGTAGTGGAGTTCTATGCTTATTGCCTCAGCAGTCTATCCCGGTGAAGGTTAGTCGCCTGCCGGTTAGCCTGCCTGAGAGGGCTTTGTCAACTTAAGAGATTGCAAGCTACTGTCGGATCTTCCGCAGTTTAATCAACAGTTAATCTACCCAGGGTAATTACAACCTTGACCTAACTAAGGAGCTAGAGGGACTCATTCCCGAGTGACTGTTCCTTTGCTAAAGAACTTTGAACCATTTCCTGCTTTCTTACTGCTTTTACTTAAAATCACAATCACTCGACTTAGTTTGCTAGATAATAGATAATCACGGAGTAGGCAGTAGATCTAGACCCCGGGTTGACAATTAGAGCTTGCCACTTTACTGCATTTCCGGACTACGATTACACTTGGTCGCATTTTGGGTTGCTTCTTGGGCAGCTTGTTGAGGATGAAGGCTGAGCACTACTCGCCTAGGGTGACATTGGCGAGGTCTTCGAACTTTGGCTTCTTAGAGAGACACCCCTTGAGGTATCTCGAATACCTTGGCATGTGGGCCATCGCTTCAAGGAAGGGTATTGAGGTGGAGCTTTCAAAGCATCTCCACCGAGGCGTTCACAAGGTCTTCAAGTTTAGAGAACTTATCTACTTGTTGTTGTTGTTGAAACTCTTGACCTCCTTGTGCTTGTTATGTTTGTTGGAAGTTCGAGTTTTGGAATTGAGGCCTTTGTTGGATGAATATTGGCCGAGGTTGGTAGTTGCCTGTTGGACTTTGGAAACCGGGAGGTCTTGGATTGGTAGGGGAAGACCAAGCGAAGTTTGGATGATTACGACACCCGGGGTTGTAGGTGTTACTATAAGGGTTGTTCCCTCTAGCATTGGTAATGAAGCACACTTGCTCCTCGAGGGTACTCGACTCCTTCATCGCTTGGCAATCCACAATTTCGTGATTGGTGCTTAAACACCAATCACAAGACATCACTGCTCTCTTCCCTTGCTTCTTATCCTCAAAGATCACCTTGATCAACTTGTCAAGCTTCGCTTCAAGTGGAGCACTTGCTCTCACATTTCATACTCCTCGATCGGTGCTTCTCTTCCCACTTCTTGTCAAGCCCCAATCATATCCCTTAAGAGCCATATCTTCTAGCAACTCAGTCACTTGAGGAGGGGTCATGTTCAGCAAACTCCCTTGGCAAAGAGAGTCAATGAGGATCTTGTCATCTTGAATGAGTCCTCCATAGAAGTTTCTATCCGAAATTGCTCCTTGAATCCATGGTGAGGCATTGGAGGAAGTAGTCGGAGAATCTTTTCCATGCATCCCTCAATGTCTCATCCTTCTCTTGCTCAATGTGAGTGATTTTCTTCCTCCACTCGGCCGTCTTGGAAGGAGGACAATATTGGGTCATGAACTTGTTGAGGAGATCATTCCAAGAGGTGATAGATAGAGCCGGATGGTTGTTGAGCCATTAGAGTGCCTTCCCCGCCAAAGAATAGGGGAAGAGCTTCAATAGCAATGCCTCCTCGGGGACGCCAATTATCTTCAAGCTTCCCGATAGCTCAAGAAACCTTTGGACATGCTCTCGTGGTGATTCATGGGCTAGCCCGTGGAAGTAAGCATATTGTTGAATCATCGTCATGAGAGAGGGCTTGATCTCAAAGTTGTTGGCGGCCACGGGTGGATGTAAGATGGGAGATTGGATATCCGCCGCCCGTGGATCCATGTAATAGCCCATAGTCATTGGCACTTTCTCGACTTCCGCTTCTCCAGTTGGGTTTGGAAGCGGATTAGCCTCTCGATGTTGATTTCCTGTCATCTCAACTTCAACTCCTCCTTCAATTACTTCAATTCTGTGACCAACTTGTTGTCCCCTTTCTTCACTTCTTCTTCTTGCCTCCGCTTGCTCCCTCTCTCGAGCTAGAAGTCGGAGGGTTCGGTTGATGTCCTCATCCAGTGGTGTTAAATGCAACGGATTGCTCCGGGTCATACACCTCCCTACACACACTTAAAGAGCACAACACATCTAGTACAAGCAAAAACATCACAACTTAACAAAAACAGAAATTAAAAACTAGATTAACACCAAGCAAACTTTTCACGATAACGGACAGAGGTCCCCGGCAACGACGCCAAAAACTTGACTCGCTCTGACTATCAAAATAAAATCCCACCTAAGGTCCCAGTATAGACCTTAGATTGGTGCAATATAGGGCAAGTATGTTTAAATATCGACTCGGGTCGGTCCACGTCTGCTACTTCGAATGTTTGAAACATTATCTAGCGGATTGGTTTTGGTGAAAACAATGGTCTAAAACTAAATAGCTTTGTAAAGGTAAAATGGATTTAACTCTAGTTGAGAAAGCTTCACGTGGGCGTTGCTCCCCCTAGCTAACAATTATGACCTGAAGAATCGAACGACCGTGTGTGGTTAGGGGGTCATAAACTGCAAGGAAGTCTAACAAACAACCGAAGCTACCCTCTTAGCCTCTAGGTTGAGGAATGGGATACGATCCAAGCCACTAAAGTGACCCTCTCAACCTATCAACTAAGGAACAGTTAGACTTCACCCTTGAATTGGAGTTCGGACGACCACCCACAACCAATCCCTAAGTGCTAATGCGAATTAGGAGGTTTTCCCTTTAACTAACCTAGAATAGGAGGCATAGAATGCCCAAGGAAACCCATCTCTAATAGAGCCTCTTAAGTCAATGAGGGTTCTCTCTAAACTAGCTTAGGAGGCATTGAATACCCAAGGAAACCCATCTCGAAATGAGCCTCTTAGGTTAAGGAGGGTTCTCTCTAAACTAGTTTAGGAGGCATCGAATGCCCAAGGAAACATAGCCTCTTTGGTAAAGGATGTTTCCTCTCTAAACTAGCCTAGGAGGCATGAAATGCCCAAGAACACCCAATCAGCCTCCTAACCTAAGGAGGTCTCCTCTCTAAGCTAGGTTAGAATGGCAATTAGATAGATAGGCTTTCACATAACACAATCATTTCTGAATAATACCTCCACATTCATATTAAAACACAACCACACACAAATTATTCAATTCATACAAGCATTCACATAATTGTAGCTAGGGTTTACAAACACCCAAGTGAAAGAAAGGACTACTCCATGCTAGGAGAAGGGAAAACACAAGAGAGGGAAAGGGAAACCATCAAGAAGATGCAATCCTTGGTCCTTGTGCTGAAGAAATCCTCCTTTGGGGAAGAAATTCCCAAAACCTTGCTTGGAGAAGAAACCCTAACTTTTCCTCTTCTTTGGTTTATCACTTTCTCACTCTAAAATCTGAAGAAGGAGAAGTTTCTAACTCTAGGTCTCTCTCCCTTGTATTCTTCCTTTCAGCAAGTCTTTTAAATGGAGATCACGCACAATTCACAGCCTTAGTTCACGGTTGTGAACATTGAAACGCCTCCATGAATTTAGTGCTGCGACCAAAACGCACCGCTTCATTTGCTCAGGTTCACGTTCAGTGGCCTCTATTCACGGTCTAAGCGATCGTGAACTGCCTGGGTGTCGGTAACCTAAAACCCCCTCTATTTGCTCCTCGGTTCACAGATTCTGGCTCCAGTTCATAGCCTTGTGAGACCGTGAACTCCAATGCAAGGCCGTGAACAGCGACTTTCTCCACCTCTTTGCCCGATCATTACTCCTTTTCTATCAACTTTTGACTCCAGGTTTGGTTTTACCTGTTAGAATCTGAAACACACTAAAACACAAGCAACCTCGCGTAAAACCAACCTTTTTGGAGTTCAATTACAACAAACGTCAAAGTGAATCGGGGATAAAAAGTGTACAATTAGGCTCGAATCAAATACACCAGTCAAGTTTAGAAGTATGTCAAAATGTGATCTACAATGAGTATCACAAGGCCTTTTGAGAGCAACTTCCTGATTCGATCCTCGTCCACTCTCAAGTTCACCATGATAAAAGCCTCATCTACTTTAGCAGCTTGACAATGTCGAATATTTTCCATTCGATTACAAGATTCCCCTACCAATTTGATCAAGTCATTCACACCCTTGAAGAAGCCACTAATATCACCATGATGCTTGTAACTGTAACAAGCATTAGCTGAAGCTGATGGGCAAAGCAATAAAAATAATAAGCAGATGAATTTTCTGCCAAAAGTAAAGTTTTGAGGCCATTAATTTCCCCACTCATATTGCTACCGGTATCATAACCTTGTCCCCTTAGTACCTGCGACATGAAAAATCCCAAGAAATATCTCCATCACATATCCCTCTTGATTTACATAGCACAACACATATAGTCATAATCTCTTTGATAAATGTATTACGAGTTTCATCCACCAAAATGGAAAAAAAACATCATTTACAATGTCACGTATGATTTCCTTCGTTATTTCAGTTGCAGTTGCATCGATAATATCCTTTTTGTATATCTGGGGAAGCCATCTGGAGATTTTTTGGAGCATCATTCATCACAATGCACTCCATATCATCTTTACCTCGAACATGAAATTTCAGAAGTTCAATAAAACTTCCTCTATTCTTTGTCAGATTCATCATGACCATAAAGTGCATGACCTTAGCGTACACAATGTCTAATGCAGTCAATCGAAGCTTGCAAACGAGTTCTGTAATCCACCTTTGCCTCATTTGACTGTTTACATAGGGATACTCCAATGATTTGTGATTGATTCAACAAGTCTTCACATTTTCTCATAGCCTTATTTTGCTCACTATCGACATGACCAATATGCTTATCAAAACCTGCATATGCTCTGTTCCAATTTTCAAAACCCTTAGAAATAAATGAAGCACCTCCACCTTGCTTGCTATCACTGCCCCTAAATAAATAAAAATGCAAGCATCATTTTTCCCAATATTGTATTTCAATCAATGATATATCTTATACCAAGAAGATTTAAAGCTACAAAGATTTCCTCCAATAGCTATAGATGTAAAATCATGACCAGGTTGACAAACATCTTTTTGAAGATAGTATCTTCTAAAAGTATCGTGAGCATTGCGATTAAATATTGATAGTTGTTATCTTAATTTTGGATCAGCTTTCAAAGAGCTCAGATCGAACTCACTTTTATTATATTCAATGCTAGCCTTAGATTTAGTTATCGAGTGAGGTTATGACACTGATGGTGTAGACGGAGTTGAATTAGAATCATGTCCAGGTACTATTGACTTCAATCCACTAACTTCATGTCCCGAAGCATTCAGGTTTATCCGAGACTTCTTTAAAAAATATCTCTCCACAACAGAAAATCAACACATTTAAAATCAAGGGTTAATACCCTATTTTGGCCTGAACTTTTCACAAAATTACTACTTTGGCCGAAGCTTTTTGGAACTCCTATTCTGGCCCAGACTATACCCCATCTATACAATTTTGGCCTGACGCGTTGGTTGACCGCCCTTTTCAGTAGTATTGCTGCTATCTTTTTTGCAGCTTTTGTTGTTGCTGGAATTATGTGTATGGTTCAGCAACTACGCCGATTGAACTATTTGATCGATTTTTTTCTTTTATTTATTCTTTCACCCTTTTCTATAATAAAAAAACGGATTCTTCCAATATATCTAATTTGGACGATCAACACCGTTGACTAATGGTCAATGCGCCAGGCCAGTGCCATGTCAACACAAATATTATAATTTCAAATAAATTAATATTTTGCTAATTTTTTATTTATCTTTATTAATTAATTAAGTAAAAAGAAAGAAAAATAGGATTCGGGCCACTCTCATCTTATCCGCCTCTCACTACTCCCCACCCAAAACCCTCACCCGCTCTCATCGCATCCCTTCCTCTCTCCCCTAAGTCGACCAAATGGGAATCCTAAATCCCCTTCTTCCCAATGATTAGCCTTCCTTCCTCACCATCTCCGACGAACATGCTACGATGGTCGGTCGTATAAAGTCGCCACCACCGCCGCCTCTCTCTACTCCCCACCCAAAACCCTCACCCGATCCAATCACCTCCTCAGCCTCTCTCGTGAGCTCTGTTCTAGAGTTGTGATAAAATTGAGGGAATTTTCTCGATCGGAAGGCCATTGCCCTTTGTCACTTGCATTAAACAGTGGTCGGGCCGGTGGATGTCTGAAGATCCTTTCCAATAGTTGTCTCTCTTCTCTGAAAGGAGATAATAGTGAACGCAGAGGGACCACAGTAGCAAGGGACCACGACATCAATTTCTTCTTTGCCATTCAACAGCGTAAGCATCAATATATTTCACAATAAATTAGTAAATGATGACTTGATATATACTCATTTTTGGTGTTTAAAGCTGATTTCACACTAGGTTGTTCTTTTTTGTGATATTTCAGGTCCTAGTATGTGAATGAAGGTTTGGGCACGAGTTCAGGGTCGATTGGACGAAGTTGGGACGTTTGGCGAGAAGTTGAGGAAACCACACGACCTGGCCATATTTCCACACGGCCGTGTGGCACCCCTTTGCGCGGGAAATCCCACACTGGCCGTGCAGGGGCCCTTTTTGGCCGTGTGGGATTTGTAGAGAGTACACACGGGAAAGCCAGGTTTCTACACGGCCGTGCCATTCTGGCCATGTAATGTACCTTCCGTCACTTAAATCAAATGCCGCGCTTTGGACTTCACACAGGCAGATTGGGGATTCCACACGGCCTTGTGGCCTAGCCGTGTGGTCGTGAAATTCTGGGTTTTAACCCAAATTCGGGTCTTTGAAGAGGGATACGAATATTGAGATAAAAAACAGAGTCCTGGAGAGAGAGAGTGCGAAGAACAAACCCTAGAGGTGATTTTGGAGCTGGGTTTCATAAGTCAAGCTTGGATTTCATCCCTGGAGTGAAGATTATAATCCCAAAGCAGATTCTTCCCATCATTATGAGTATGACTGCTTTGTATTCTATTTTCCTCTCTCTCTCTCTATGGAGTAGAACTCTCTCTCACTTGGGTATGAAGAACCCTAGTTCCATGTGTTAGGGATATTGATTGTAATGACTTTTGGATTGATATAATGTGTGATTATAATTGATTGATGCATGATTCATTGAGTCAATTGAAGCCTAATCAACTTTTCTTGATTTTTGCTGCAACCTGAGATAGATAGAAACTGATTAGGTTGTTAGAGCTTCTTCAATCGGTAGTAGTGAATTGATTATACGAGATTTAGTTGATTCACTGCTTTGTACTGGAATCCAATACCAGTAGTAGATTTCTGTGTTAATTGCCTCAGCATTCTATCCCGGTGAAGACTAGCCGTCTGTCGGGTAGTATGACTCAGAGGGCTTGGTCAGCTTAAGAGATTCCAAGCTACAGTCGGATCTTCCGCAGTTTAATCAACAGTAAATCAACCAAAAGGAAATTTCAACTTTTACCTAACTATGGAGCTAGGGGGGCTCATTCCCAAGTGACTCTTCCCTTGCTTAAGAACTTCAACAATTTCTTGCTTTCTTACTACTTTTGTATACAATCACTCTCACTACACTTAGTCCCGCTAGATAATAGGTAATCACAGAGTAGGCAGTAGATCTAGACCCCAGGTTGATAAAGTAAACTTACCACTATTCTGCATTTCCAATCTGCGATTACACTTGGTCGCAGTTTGGTGTTGTGTCGTAGCATGTCAGTAAATACGTCCAATAATAAGTATTTGGCCATATGTGACTATGTGTAGTGGATATTAAGCAATGTTTGTGTTTTTTCTTTGTCGAGCTTAGGGAAGTGAACTCTGAGTTGTGTGATTTTTGATTTGTTTATATCAGAATGGATGAGATGATTGAGCTAATTTTGTACAATTGAGGTGCTATGCATTGGGCAGGTGCGTTCCAGAGTATGGGGGAGGGGTTTTTGATGTCGTCAACATTCATCATGATGTTTTGTCGTACTTTGAGATTTCGAAGACCGTAATTGAAGATTTGGAGTATCTATTAGATGAAAGGGTTTGGTACTTGACCTCTGGGAAAATCATGGCGACTGGGTTGCATGAAATTCACTCAGTTGTGGAGGTTATGAACGTATTACTTGAAGATGTGGGCAAAGGAGAGTTAAGAGTGCACTTTGAGGCAACCAGGGACATTGGTGAGATTGGTTTTATGGGAGATTATTATGGCCATGATCATGATGGCTTTGATGATGAGGGTGAAAACTTGGTTGCACCAGAATTCATTTGTTTAGACGAAGATGATGATGCCCAAACATCTGACGAAGAGCATCATGCTATAAGGGCAAAGGTTTGAGAAAGAAGGCAAAATATTAGAGCATAGTTTAAATGTTGAGGGGACGAGGTGGATCAGATTGTGTATGTAGATGATCATCAGAATTTGGATGAAAATAATCAAGGGAAAAATCAAGATAGTCTAAGTCAGGGACAAAATGAGCCATCTAAGGCTGTGGAAGATGATGCTACTGGTGAAGAGTCTATGGACACTAAGTATAGAGGCTTGGATAACTTTGCTCATGCTAGAGGTAATATAGCCGAAGATGATTATCCTCCCATGTTTGACAAGAGCACGCTCTATGATCCAAAATGCGATCATAAAGCTTTAAAGTTCTCCATCCATATGTGTTTCTCCTCCCCTGGTCAGTTTAAAGAAGCTGTAATAAGACAGTCAATAGATAATGGTGTTGATATAAGGTGGGTCAGGAGCAGCTAAACAAAGAAGGAAGTTGTATGTGCACAAAAGAAGGAGTATAAATGTGGTTGGAGAGTGTATGCCAGTTGGTTTCGCAAGCGTGAAACCTTTGTGGTTAAAGGAGTTGGTACAAATCATAGTTTCCCTCATTCACCGAGGATTCGAGCAGTTGGTCAGAAGTGGATAACAAAGGAATATATCGAGACGTTTCGGATAAATCAAGGGTGGAATGTTGGCCTAATGGTAGCTGAGGTGAAATGCAAGTTCAACTTGATTGTCAGCAATCAAACTTGCTACCAGGCCATATTGGAGGCATACCACTTGTTGTACGGCTCGCTCGAGAAATATGTTCATCAAGTGAGGTCTTATATAGGACATCTTCTATGAGTTGACCCTCAAGGGTCCTTTCTCTTCAAGGTGGATATAGAGCCTGGTTATGATAAAGTGTTCTTTAGAAGACTGTACATTGGCTTCTCAAGTTTGTGAAAAGGGTTCCTGGAGGGTTATCTACCATTCTTCTGTCTAGATGGTGTTTCCTAAAGGGTGAGATGCAATGAATGTTGTTGTCGCCTATTGGGAAGGATGTTCAATCGCATGGACAATAGTCAAGGCATGAAACAAAAGCTCTTGGACATGGTTTCTGACTCACCATAGATACACCACGAATTAATCCCGACTAATGCCCAAGTTTTTAAGCTCTAGCCGAGTGCAACATAGGGCAAATATGTTTTAATTGTCAAACCCGGACCGGTCCATGTACCCCTACTTCAATCGCTTAGTTTGTTATCTAACAAACGTTTTTGTGTTTAAAACTATGAAACCTACAAATGAAAACAAGCAAGTAAAGTAAATCGAGGTTGCCCAAATGAGAGAAGAGTTCACCCGGGTGTTGCTCCTTCTATCTAACAATTATGACTTGTTGGATCGAATGGTCGTGTGTGGTGAGGGGGTTATAAACCGTAGGGAAGTGTAACAAGTAGCCAAGCGCCACTCCTTGGTCTCTAGGTCAAGGGAAAGGGATATGATCCAAGCCCACAATGTGAATCTCTCTACCTATTGACTAAGGGTTGGTTAGACTTCACCCTCGAATCGGAGTTCGGATGACCACCCACAACCAAACCCTAGGTGCCAAAACGAAATAAGAGGTTTGCCCTGCATTAACATTAGATAGGAGACAATGGATTGCCTAAGAAAATCCAGCATTCAAGCCTCTTTCAAAGAAATGAAGGGGGCTTTCTCTCTACCTAGGTTAGAATGAAGAGATGAAAATCTTTCCTCCTTGTTGCTTGAATCTTCCTTGAGAAGAAGAAACCTTCACACCTCTAGCTTGAAATGAGCCCAATCTCCTTCTTCCTCCTTTGAATGGCCCTTTCTCTCTCTAGAATAGGAAGAGGAAAACCTAATCTCTCCCTAGAAACCCTTCTTTATTCTGAAAACTAAAACCCTAGAAAAGCTTTCCTTTCTCCTTCAGCTCAACTCCCCTTTTATACCCAGATCAGGCTCAAATCACGCTCCCAGTTCACGGTCATGAACTCAAGGCGGGGATCGTGATCTCGGGTCAAGACGCGCCGCTTTACTAAGTCACTTCACGTT